GCGGTCCCGGTTGCTCTCGGAGGAGGAGGCCACGCCCCCGCTCCCGGTCTTGCCCCCGGGGCGATGCTGGAAGTCCATGGTGAGACCCTGGGCACTCTGTCAGACCAGGGGAGAAACCTGTGAAGGCCAAGGGGCGGCTGGTGAGACTATGTGTGAGATCTCACCCTCCTGGTCTGGCCTCACCCCTCCCCGGTCTCACCACCCCCAGCCCTGGCTTCACCACCTGTCTTCCAGTGGCTGAGGGCCCATGCTGGGCCCGGCACATGGGAACGAGGAAGGAAAAACAGGAGAAACGAGGCATCTCCAGGTGACAGTGGGGGTGGACCAGAGAGGAAGATCTCTTTGACTGAGGAGTGCAAAGGCCCAGGGACCCAAAACAGCAACAGAGAAGAGGAGGCTGAGTTCTCACTAACTAGTTCCATCTCCTCTAAGAAGCCTTCCCAAACTGCCCTGGCCCACACTATTCACTCCCTCCTCTGAATCCCTTTTCTGCTCATCTACACTTCCTTCCCGCAACCTAAACTCTACTTCTCTGATACAGCAGTACATTTGCTAGAACAAAGAACACATCTGGCTACCTGTCCACCCCCAACTCCCACTGCCTAACACACAAGACAGTCACAGCTCGTTTGCGGCTGAGGCAGACTCTTCCAGGCCCTTGATTTCTCCTCCACATCCCTGTCAAGCTGTCCAGATACTTTTTCCTACTGTTTCTCATACTCCTCCAGGTTCAGTTCAGATCCAACCTCAGGTACCTTCTCTCATCCTATATTCTCTTCACTGTCAATGCTGGCCCCAGGCCCCTGGTTTAAACCCACAGTACCTTGACTCTGTTAGGGTAAGCTCACAGGGATGGGGCCCAGGAGTGTGAACCCCCAAAGATGTACCTGTCCTGCTCCCTGGGGTGCCTGGACACATCACCTCACGCAGCAGAGGGAAATTTGCAGGTGGGATTAAGTTAGGTCCCTGAGATGGATACGACCCTTGATTCCCCGGGGGGCCCACTGTCATCATAGGGTCCTTATAAGAGGGAGGGGGAAGATCAGAGGCAGACGCAGGGGATGCTGCTCTGCTGGCTGTGAGCCAGGGATGCAGCGCCTCTAGAAGCTGGAAAGTACATGTCTTTCAGCAGGAGCCGGTGCTCCCCTGAAGCCTCCAGAGGGAATAAAACCCAGTGAGACTAGTGTTGAGTTTCTGACCATGTAGATGCAGTGCAAACTCATGTCATGTAAGCCACTGATGGTTTGCTGCACTAGCCAGCTGTGCCACTGACTTGCCCTACTACTTGATGAGTTTATGAAAACCTCATGTCAGGTGACCAGTAGGGTGACCTAGCTGGCTGCAGAATTACCAGGCCTGACTCTTTTTACTACACACAAGGCTACCCAGAGTCATCAACTGGTAAAGGCAAAAAACACTAACAGAGCCAAGAGTTCCAGTCAGTTTGGGGACAGCCAGTTCCTTCGTTCAGTTCAGTTGCTCAGTCGTGTCCGACTCTGAGACCCCATGAAGTGCAGCACGCCAGGCCTCCCTGTCCATCACCAACTCCCAGAGTCCACCCAAACCCATATCCATTGAGTCGGTGATGCCATCCAACCATCCTATCCTCTGTCGTCCCTTTCTTCTCCTGCCCTCAATCTTTCCCTTCATCAGGGTCTTTTCAACTGAGTCAGCTCTTTGCATCAGGTGGCCAAACTATTAGAGTTTCAGCTTCAACATCAGTCTTTCCAATGAATACCCAGGACTGATCTCCTTTAGGATGGACTGGTTGGATCTCCTTGCAGTCCAAGGGACTCTCAAGAGTCTTCTCCAACACCAGCCAGAAGAACATGCCATGGTGTCATGAAAGCCTGCAAGGAGAATCTGACCAACTCAGGAAACCCAAACACAGACAGATACTTAATCACTCACCAGCCTACCTGTTGGAATCTCAGAGAGGCTGGGGTGAGGCCAGGTCGATCAGTGCCTGCCTGTTGAGCAGCAGTGCCGCCCCCCACTCCCCCCTCCACCCCGCAACCTGGCCTGTGTCCAGCAGGCAGGAGACCCGGCTAGAGTCCCCAGTCCAAGGGACAGGGGAGATCAGAAGTTTTTTCTGCGGAGAGAGCACCAGAGACAGTATTCTCAGACACTGAAAGTTGGGGGCTCTGCATCCCCCAAACCCCAGCACTTTGCCAGGCCCACTGTGCTCACTAGAGAAGCACTGTTCTCCACGCAGAACTGATGTCTAAACAGACATGAAGAAATGCGTGTATCGAGGAAAAAGGAAACTCAGTGAAAAGCTCAACAGAAAATGTTAACATCCTCTTGGACGATGGGCGATGTTTTCACAGCTCAAAACTAGAATAGGATGCCACAGGTTAGCATGGCCAGTTAACACCAGACAAACCCTTTAAGCAAAGATGCGATGAGCCTAACAACACACTGAATGTGAGTGCCTGAAGGTAAGAATCAAAGCTATCATGAAGAACAGGAAAATAAACAATAGCAAAGTAACAGGGTAACAGGAGACAAAGCAAGAAGCTAGAAATTTTGAACTGAAAACAAAACGTGGCCACACTACTATATTTAATACAGATATAACCTATAGGAAACTACTGTATACAGAGCACAGAAAACTCTGCTCAGTGCTCTATAACGACCTATACAGGAAAAAAAGTGAAAAACAATGAGTATGTATACGTGTATAGCTGATTCACTTCGCTGTACATCTGAAGCACAACACTGTTACTCAACTATAGTCCAAATACAAAATAAAAACTAGGAAAGAGAAACAAAAAACATGAAGAGTATTATCAAAGAAACAACCTAAAAGAATAAAAAACTCTCCTATAAATAGACCATGAAGTTTTATGTCACTAACACTTAAAAGTTCCTAGCAGATGGAAAAAAAAATCAGAAACAAGAGATCAGAAACCAGGATGAGATGAGAACCTTCAGAACACGTAAGGCAGCGCAAGGCTTTTCCCAATTCCCATCAGGGGCTTTCAATCTAGAACTTTACACCCACACTTCTAACTGTGAGAATGGATAAAGCCATTTTCAGCAAAGCGAGGGCTCAAACTGAACAATGAGTCAACTTCTTCAAAACCTACCTGAGGAGCTCTGATGAAAAAAGAGGAGACAGTGAGACTGAAAACAGAAACCAGCCCATGGGAGCCTGAACAGAAGGTTCTAGGATAGCTATTCAGCTGCCAGGTGGAGCTCCAGTCCTGAGTGGAACAGGAAGATGCCAGCACTGAGAGCGAAGTTTGCAGTCAGGAAAGGAAAAAAAAGACATCCATTGTTTCAACCCGTGGGAAACTACAACCAATAGGCTTGCAAAGAGCCGACTCATCAGAAAAGCCCCTGATGCCTGGAAAGACTGACCGCGAAAGAAGGGGGAGGCAGAGGATGGGATGGTTGGATGGCATCACTGATTCAATGGACACAAGCTTGAGCAAACTCTGGGAGATAGTGAAGGACAGGGAAGCCTGACGTGTTGCAGCCCATGGGGTCAGTCAGACACGACTGACTGACGTGTGAAATGATGATGCTCTGAGACAAAAATTAATAACCAGCAAAGAAAATCAGACGAATAGGAAGAATGAAAAAAGGAAAGGGCGCTGGAGGAAGGGTGGCGAGCAAAACAGTACCCCACAAAGCAGCACAGTTCAACACAGTACCTGCCTGAGCAGCGAAAGCTATTTTCAGCCCTAGAAAATAAGATTGACGATCTGACTAAAGCTCAGGATCTATAACCACATCCATGGTATGAAGGATGAGGCTGCAGCGGGTGAGGGGGAGGCAGAAATGAGACCTCAGCAGTCACGGGAGGAAGCTGAGAGACCACTTCTACACCCGACTCAGGCTATTTACAAGCTCGGGTCGGTCGTACTCAGCTGCCAAAGGGCAAAAGGGAGAAGGGGCCGGGATCCCGGAGTGACAAGTGGAGAGGTCATTTAAACTCCGGGCTTCGCTCGCTAAACGGGCCTAGTTAACGGGCTCTTGGGCCCGCGCCAAGAGCTCCGCCTCAGGACCTTCCTCACTCCTCGGCGGGCCTGGCACCAGGGGTGCCGTCACCCTCACCCATTACCGGAACCAGATGAGCCCCGGACCACAAATCCAGCAAACCAACAGACTCAGGGAAGGCGCCCCGGGTTCCTTGCGACCCGACCCGACCCAACGGGCCTTAGCAGCAGGAGCTCCCTACGGGAGGGCGGGGGTGTTGGGCCGGCCCAGCGCCCGGCGTGTAGAGAGCCGGTGCCGCCCTCAACCCAGCACTTCAGCCACTCCCCTCCAAGGAGTCCCCCTGGGCCGCCGCCCTACTCCCGCACCACTCCTAATCCTCACCGACGATTTCGTCAAATCCACGGGCTCCTCACACACTGCCTTGGTCTATTCAGGCGCCGCAGCTACGGTGATGACCACGTCCTGCGCACGCGCGCCGAGACCTGAGAAAGCACTTCCGGGGACAGGAAGGGCGGGGCCTCCTGTGTGCGCGTGCCCGGCCCGCCCAATGGCGCGGGCGAGACGCTTATAGGCTGAAGGAAAGCGGGGAGCGGAGTGCAAGCCGGAAGTCGAAGCGCTCGTGCGTGTCAGATTACTTCGTTCTTTCCGTCAATACCACTCGGGGAGCCAGTTCTCGCGGGGAGGATAGTTGCGATTCGCCTCCCACCTCTGGCCCCTGTTCGTTTGAGTAAGGGGTGCCACCGGTCGTGGGAATGCTTTGTTGTTCCCATCCCGGGTTCACGTTATTATGTGGTCATATATGACACCATCCATTTTGTCTATAGTCCCGTTCACCCCAGGAAGTTCCCGCTCCGTCTTAACGGCCCCCGAGACGCTTCCGCCACACGCCGGTGATTGACAGACTGAGCGGCCGGGAGCACGCAGGCGTAGTAGCTCCGGCTGCGCTTCCGGGACGGCGCCGTGGGACTCTTTTGGCGCCGGCATCTCCGAGCGTTGGGACGGCGGCCGGGAGGGCGCGGCCGGCGTTCCGCGTTTTGGGTACCGGCGGCGCCATGCGCTATAACGAGAAGGAGCTGCAGGCGCTGTCCCGGCAGCCGGCCGAGATGGCAGCCGAGTTGGGCATGCGGGGACCCAAGAAAGGCAGCGGTGAGCGGTCTGGGACGCCGGAGCGGGCGGGCGGGCGGCTGAAGGGGCGGGAGTGGGCAGGTGCTGAACCCGCGCGATCCCGCCTTGTGCTCGCAGTGGTGAAGCGGCGGCTGGTGAAGCTGGTGGTCAATTTCCTCTTCTACTTCCGGACGGACGAAGCGGAGGTAGGGTGCTGGGGAGGACTCCAGTGGGGGTTAGGTTCGGAGTTCGGAGTCGGGGGTGGGGCGGGGTCGAGGTCCGGTGTAGGAGCGGGGCGGGCTTGGGAATCGGGGGCGGGGCAGGGGGCGGGCGGCTTCCCGGGGCCCCTCCCCCATGCGCCTGTCCGCCCGCAGCCCATTGGAGCCCTGCTGCTGGAGCACTGCAGAGTCGCTCAGGAAGAGCCCAGCGGCTTCTCCATCAGTGAGTGCGGCCTGGGACAAGGCTGGTTGTCCCCCCCACCCCCCACCCCCCACCCCCCACCCCGCGGCGTGGCCCCACCTAAGTCCCTAGAGGCTGAGTGCAGTGTCCCGGCGGCCTCACGCGCTGGCTCCTCCCGTGGAGCCTGGTCATCTAGACAGAAGTGACCCGAACGGCCGCCCTTGTCTTGTTGGGGAGCATTTCTCTCCCGGCGTGCCTCGCTGCAACCGTTCCATTTCTCCTGTGAGCTGGGCTTGTGCTGGGGAACCGGGACTGTTTTCTCCTCGGTGCTTTTGAGAGGGTGGGGTCTGCAGGAGGAAAGAGAGAGCTTCTACTAGTTTCCCCGGGAGTCCGCAAGAAAGTGCCACAGACTGGGAGGCTTAAATAGAAAAAATATATTCCTCCCAGTTCTGGGCGGGGAGAAGTCTGACTTCAGAATGTCAGCCTGGTTGCTTCCTTCTGAAGGAGAATCTGCCCAGCTTCTGGAGGGTTCGTTGGCAGAACTGTCTTGTAGAAACATCTCCCCGTCTCTGCCTTCATTTTCTGGGATCTTCTCCCTTGTGTGGTCAGGTCTAGGTTCGGCTTTTCTTAACAGCAGTTCTTCACCCTCCTGCGGTGTGAGCTCAGCTTAACTGCTTAACTACCTAGACCTGTAGTGACTCTACGTCCAGATAGAGTCCCTGTCTTGGGAAATACACGATTTAAGATGTGAATGTACGTTTTTTGGGGGACACGATTCAAGCTACAGTCAGCTGTTAAGAAGCAGTGGGCCCAGGCCAGGGCTGGAAAAGGAAGTTGAGGCCTGGGTGGGAGGGAGCGGGGACACATGGGGGCTGCTCCCTTCCCAGGCTTCCTGGAGGACCCAGAGAGGAAGTACCACTTCGAGTGCTGCAGTGAAGAGCAGTGTCAGGAGTGGATGGCTGCACTGCGTCGAGCCAGGTGGGGTGCTGACAGAGTCTAGGGCCAGGCGGAGCCTAGGGCAGTGTGGGGCCTTGGGGGCTCACTCAGCTTTCCTTTCTAGTTATGAATTCATGCGGAGGAGCCTCATTTTCTACAGAAACGAGATCCAGAAGATGACTGGCAAGGTGTGCATGGGGGCGGGGGGTGGGGGCCTCCTGGGCTCAGGCTTACGCCCTCCCCGCCTTGTCGTCCACCCACGCAGGACCCCCTGGAACAGTTTGGCATATCAGAGGAGGCCAGGTTCCAGCTGAGCAGCCTGAAGGCATGAGGCCGGGTGGGCTCCCCAGCTGTCCTGTTGCTGGACAAGGCCTCTCTGCCCTCCCGGCCCCAGGTTTCCTGGCCAACTGTGGATTTGCTGTGGAAGTATCTTGGTTTAAAGACTTCAAACGCCCCAGGGTGGGCAGGGGCTGCCTTGTTGGGAGAAACCACCCAGCAAGTGTCTTCTAGACACACTGGGAACCACTGGACTGGTTTGGTACCTTGGTGCCGCCTGCTGCTGCCAGGGGACCAGTGCCCCCTCCCGGAGCTGTGCCCCGCCCTTTCGGTCCGTTGACCCAGGGCCTGGCAGGTACAACTCTCCTGCGCTGGGCAGGCTGAATGTATAAAGTTAGGTGAAGCTGTGAAGGGCGTGGGGCCGTGCTGGGGCCGCTGTGAATTCTCCTGCTGAAGGGGCAGGCCCTGGCCAGACGCCTCTGGGCAGAGCTGGAAGGCTCGCCTTTGGGGTGGCCAGTATATTCTGTTCAAATAAAGGTACCTCTTTTCCATACGGGCCAGTGGTGCTGTGACTGCAGAGAGGGACATGTGTCCTCTGCCGCGCGCCTGTCCTGCATCTGCACAGCTGCTCCTGAGGGAAGTGAGGCCCTCCCCAGGTTCAAGGTTGAAGTGCCTGGGAGCAACAGAGTGGGGAGACCTGGAACCCAGAGCCAGGAAGGGCAAGGGGGGCTGGGACCTGGCCTACAGGGCTTCTGGCGCTCACAGGCCCCCGTCTGAGTGCCAGCAGGACCTCAGGAAGGGTTTGTTGGTGGCGTTAAGGTCACTAAGTCAGTTTAGGAAGGCTAAAAGGAGGCTGCCCTGGGTGGTCCTGACCTGGTCATAGTTGTCAGCCCTCGAGCAGGGGCTGGGCCTCTGAGGCCAGGTGGGGGAAGTCGGCCACGGTGCCTGTCTTCAGGAGCAGGTGGGCCTCTACTGGGAGCGGCCGTCCTCCCTGCCTGGGGACCGTGAGCACGGCCCTGGGCCCTATGCACTCTAGGACCTTGCTGTGTCATCACCAGGAAGAAACACTGCTGCCAGACTAGGTTCAAGTGAAAACAGGTATTTTATTACAGCGTCTAGAGATGGATATGCAGTGCAGTGGGGTTCCCTTGGGAAGCGAGGGGAGTTAGCGCCCCAACTGAAACACAGGTTACCGAAACGACAAAGCAAAGCCCATCTGCATTACAAACCAAGGTGTGACAGAGCGAGCGTGGATGGATGTGTGAGTGAGAACAAACAGTCCTACAGTGGACGGGCAGGATAAATAATGGGGGAATCTTAAATAGGTCACGATTTGACTTGTAGCTAAATGGAGGGCTGTGTCCCCTGACCAGAGGGTGTCTTCATTGTTAGGGTTTCCTGAGCAAAGCGACCGTAGCCATCGGACTTCCTGGAGTGGAGTGGAGCGCCCGGGTCAACAGCAGCAGCGGGGCTCCTCCCCACGCCCAACACCCTGGCGCCCCCCCCTTCCTGTGGCAGCGGCACCCAGGCCCAGGCAAGGGGCTGGGGCCAGATGGTGGGTGTGGAGAGGCCAAGCTGGCCCCGCTGTGGGGCAGGCCCTGTGCACGTGTCTGTCCCTGTAGCTTGGAGGGCAGACAAGGCATGGTGGCCTGCAAGCCATGCAGTGTTTGTGTACAGTGTCATTTGTTCAGATGGGGCTCCTCAGGCAGCCCCGCAGCTTTCTGTTGGGGGTGGGGAGCCTCTTGAAGAGGGGTGGGGGCAGGGGGCAGGACAGCACCATCACACACCCACCAGGAGCACCGACCTGGGGTGGAGGGGGCAGGGCAGGGCCGGTGGTCACAGGAGGAGGGCTCCATCTCCAGCTTCAACTGCTGCTCTGAGCAGTGCAGAGGTGGCCAGAGGTGGGACACTGTCCTGCTCTGACCCTGTGGCCTGTATCTCGCGGGGCCTCCACCTGCCAGAAAGGCTGGCTCCAGACTCACCCCAGGAATGAGGAGGCGGGCTGGGGCTCGGCTACCATACTGATCCTCAGGGACAGCAGAGGGCCCCACTCTGCAGGGGTGGGTGGTGGCCAGGCTGGGGAAGGCTCAGGTTAGATCCCTATGTGGAGGCCCACCTCCTGCTCTCCTTGGGGGGTGCCACCTGGTGGTGGGGGCGGTGAGCACCTGAGGACAGGGCTCTGAATGCCCACCTTGGGGTCTGGGCCCCCTGCCAGCACCTTTGGCCAACACTGGCCCTTCCAGGGAGGCACACAGACAACACCGCTGCACCAAGGACCCAGCACAGTCACAGATGCTGTGCAGAGGACGGAGAGCCCCACCCACCACCGCGGAGCCTCAGGGACCAGCCCTCCTGCCCTGCCACCCCACCACATCCCCCCGCAGCACTACTGTGGCTGCTGGGGGTGGGGGTGCGGGGGGAGAGTGTCACTCCAGCTGCGGGGTGGTGGGTGGGCGGGCCAGCTGTGCCCTGGGCCAGCACCTTTGTGCACTTGAATAAACAGCAAGGTTTCCCCTCACTTTTCTTTCTTCCTTTTTCTCTTTAGTTTACTGTGTATTCATCATACAGTCTAAAAATAAATGAAGTCAAGTCTATGAAATTTATAAATTTTCATCACATCTCTATAAAATACTGTCACCCGTCAGCGTGACTCCCCTGTAGACACACCAGGCACCCACGACTAACCACCCGCGTCCCCAGCTACCACTGGTGCTGACCCTCCGTGGGCAGCCGTGGCACGGGACCGGACGAGCAGAGACGTACAAAAGTAAATGCACTTGTCACACGGCGGGTTCCAGACCCTCCTCGCGAGCACCACTCAAACGGGTCCCCTCATTGAGGCACCCCGCTGCAGCCTGGCCGCGCGGCCACCGTTCCTATGCCAAAGGCGTGATGTGGACCCAGGAGCCGAGCGAGGCCGTTCACAGTGCGAGGCGGGGCGGGCCTCCACCCGGAGCCGGGGCCTTTGGTATAGGAAGAGCGTTAGATAAACAGGGCGGGCACAGGGCCTGGCGTCGGCATTGGTCAACCCCGAGAGTCAGCACCAAGAGCATGGAGGCCGGCCTGCGACGAGATAGCACCGGGCGGCTGGCGGTCCCCGCAGCGGCCAGTCCTCGGGCGGATGGACGTCTTTACATAGATCCTTTCACATATAGTATCTACATCTCTCAATAGGTTGCCTTTACGGCTTCGGTGGAATAAAATAAGTCAAAGTTGTTTATACTTTTTAAAAAACGATAAATACTTTATCTAAAACTATGGACAGTACAGGCTGGAGCTGGGCCCCAGCGAGCCGTCTCCGCAGGTCTGCGCGGCGCTGATTCACAGTAGAGCCTGTTCTCTGGCCTCCATCCATCCTCGCCGTCCCGTGGGGGGCCCCGCGCCGCCGGCCCAGCCCGCCCTTGCATAGTCTCGCGGTTGAGGTAGAAATCCTAGTTACCTGCGGACACGCGTGGGAAGAAAGGCGGCACAGCGTTAGCCCCTCGCCCACAAGGCCCGGCGCTGCCCCAAGTCGGGAGCCAGAGCCGCCGACGGACAGACGGACCGACAGACGACGCACGTGGTGGCCGTAGGACCCTGAGCCACACCCTAGGCCCGTCCCCAGGTCCCCTGTCGGGCAGTGCTCCCAGAGGCCTGTGAACAGCCTGGCAATAAGCCTACGTGCCCCTGGGAGAGACTGGCCCAGGCAGCAGGGGAAGCAATGTCCACCATGGGCCTGACCTGGCCTCCATGTGCTCAGCTGCCCTCTCTAGCTCCTCTGATGGCCGGCGGCCACTGCACGCTGAGCAGCCCCACCTTCTGGGTTTTTCCAACTACCAAGGCACAGCCCCGGCCCCAGGCCTCAAGTAAGGCTGTCTGCAGACCCTGACCAGGAGGCTGTCAGACTCCAGTGGCTGCCCATTCGTTTCCACTTAAACACACGACACACAGCTGAGGACATGGGCAGATCCTGAGCCCAGCCCCGAAGTCCCATTTCTGCTCTATAGACCTCACCCCGGGGATGTGGGTGCAGCACTGGGGGTGGCTGGGCCTCAGTCATACGACAGAACACTGCCCACCCGCCGGGCCTTCCTTCCTGTGGCTGGTGCCACATTCACCCTGCCGCCCCTAGGCCCCCGCGGCAAGCCCTTTAGCTAAGGAGCCCACCAGATGACCATGCTCTGAAGGCCTGCAGTGCACCAGGGGCCTTGAATGCGTTGAGTTTTCCTAAAACCCTATGAGGCGCGTTCAAACACTGGGCGACAGGCCCAAGCACACAAAAGGCACTGTTGAGCTTCTCCACAGCCCCCACGAACCCACACGGGAGCTGCCTGGGCCCCCGGCGGCCACACCCAAGCCCAGGGTGGTGGCAAGCTCAGGCTGGGCTCAACAGGGAGGACACCAGCTTGGCCCTGCTCCTCCTGGTGCTCTCCCTGGGAGACCTAGGGTGCGGGGCCACAGGCAGTGGGACCAGCCATGCCCTGGTTCCCTTGCTGCCCTGGCTCTCTGCCTTCACGCCTCCTGGCCTCCTGGTCGTGGGAGCACAGCCTTGGCCCCGTGACCTTCCAGGAGCCCCGCCGGCCCACCTGTTCTCTGCAAAGGGAAGCACGGCCACCTAGTTGGGCTCTAGCCTTACCTTACAGAATACGAACTGCTAGCTAAGCAAGGTCTTTATCGCGGCTTAACCCCCGCAAGGCGCGCGGCACACGGAGGCGGCATGCCAAGGGAAACCCACACGGCGGGCGGCCCCGTGGAGCTGGCCTGTGGGTTCGCGGGTGTGGCCTGGGCCAGGGCCAGCCCAGGCAGGGGCTGGTGGTGCACCATCAAGGAAGGGCGGGACACCTTGTGCGGGAGGGAGGCGAGCTTGATGGACAGAGAGGCGTTAGCAGGCGGCAGAGAGGCAGCAGAAGAGGCGGGTAAGAAAGCTTGGTTAGCAGGGAGGGATGCGAGGTTCTGCAGAAGCACGGGCTCAGAGTTAGCTGGGAGCAGCGCAAGGGGAGAAGGTAAGGTGGCGTTAGGATGGGGGGGTGAATGGAGGGCGGGCTGCCCCGGAGGGGGCCGGCCCAGGTGCGGAGGGGGTGGGGGCGGCCTCGGCTCCGCAGAGGACGGGGCCTGAAAGGAAGAGGCCGGGATGCTGGCCACCGCCTGCGGCGGGGTTAAGCTCAGCGTGGTGCTGCGACATGCAGCCCCACTGCCGAAACTGGCTCCAAACGGATGGGCGGAGGCGGGAGGCACCGCGTGGTTAAAGACACCTGCAAACAGGAGAGAAAAACTCAGCTTCAACAGGCGGGCACCTCCAGCCGAGCCAAGAGCAGCGCGCGGAGGAGGAAGCGATGGCAGCTGCAGCTCCGCGTGCGAGCACAAGTGCAGCGAAGCGCAGGCAGCGGGAGCATGGGTGGGCCCACCGCCAGGCCCTGGAACCCTACCCCACCCCACCCCACCTCGGTGCCACGCGAGCCGGGAGCCTATGGCTCCCCGCACTCTGCTCCACCCTGCATGCACGCGGGCGGCGGGCACCACAGCCCCTCGCTCTGTCCCAGTGCCGGCCGCATCGGACCTTCCGGGTGAGCTCACAGGAGGAAGGAGAGCCCGGTCATGGCGCCAGTCCCTCTAAGAATCAGAGGGCGCGGTCAGACCAGAGAGCCTGGCACAGCCGACTCACGCCCGAGTGCTCTGCCCACACGACCGTCATGGCTGCATTTCGTGAAAAGGAACGAGGTGGCGGGCGCAAAGTGGACCCAAAGGGACACGCGGGCACAGCCTCTCCCCCCTCAGGGGGCCCTGGAAGGGAACCTGCAAACAGCGGTGGTTAAACCCAACAGTCCGGGTGGGCGGCAGAGACAATGTGCGGCCCACAGCTCGTCCCCCAGCGGGTCCTGTGGGACCGAGTGGCCAGGAGGGCACTGCCTACCTCCAACTGCGCCGCCGGCCACCCCGGAGGAGAAGCTGCCCATGGCGTGCGAGTTGGTCAGTCTGGTGGCGGCGGTCGAGACGTGAACCAGGCCGGCGGCGGGCACGGAACTGAACAGGGACTGCAGCACAGACGGGCCCAAGTTGGCCTGTAGCGACATGGGGCCCAGCGCGAACTGTGGCCCGGGGGTAAAGGTGCCCAGGAAGGGGCGGTGGGTCTGCACGGACGGGGCTGCGCCACCTGCCGAGGATGCCGCTGGGGTAAGACCTGGGCCACTGAGGAGGCCTGCAGGGGGTGCGGCGGCGGCAGCCATGAACAGGTTGTGGCCGTTCTTGACGTCGGGCTCGCGCTCACGACCCTTGCCGGCCTTGCTATGCACTGCTGAGGCCTTGTCTGGGGGTCCGCATGTGGGAAGGGCCCCCTCGCCTTTCGGGCCCAGTCCGTCCAGCTGCCGCTTGTTCGCAAAGGGGCCAGACTCTGCGGCGCCACCCTCCTTGCCCCGTGGGCCGGGGAAGCTCAGGGGGGCACCCAGGCCAGCTGCCTCGGGGGCCTTGTGGGAGAGAGAAGCACCATCACTGAAGCTGTGTAAACTGAGGTCAGCTGCTAGGCCCCCGCCCAGGGCGAAGCCGCTGGCAGGAAGGCTACTGGGGCTCAGCCCGCCCGCCCCCGGCAGTGTGCCCGGGAAGCTCTTCCTGGAGTGGGTGGCCAGCTTGGCATCGGCCGCGCTGGGCTCCTCCAGGCCGGGCCGGAAAGCGAACAGGGAGTTGTGGCTCAGAGCGGAGGCAGCCTGCAGCGGGCTGTCGGCTGCCTTGGCCAGGCCCAGGTCGGAGATGGGCGAGAAGGTAGACTTCCACTTGCTGCTGTTGACCGGCTCGCTGGCCAGCGGTGCCTTCCTTCCCGTTAGGCTACCACCTGCTGGGAGAGGCAATGGCTGAGGCCTGGGCGGTGGGGCTGGGTAAGACGCCGCGGATCTCAGACCACCGCCTGCTCAGAGTGCCTCCACACAGAGAAGGCCCTTTGGAGAAGGGCCTGGCAAGGGTGGGGCTGCCAGAGAAGCTGAGGGCAGAGGGCTGCTAAGCAGGAGGAAAGGCGTGTTGACAGGGAGGACTACATGTACCCGAGTAACCAGGTGGCACCAAGAGTGCCCCACACATCACAGGGAAAGGGGCGGGTGAGTTGTGTACTCAGCACAACCCAGGACAATTCTGGAAGCCCCGTGGGGTCCTCAGGGACCAGGCAGCAAGCCTAGCATGGGTGCCAAGGACTCAAATGTTGTGCACACTGAACTCACCATTTTCCAAGGTTTTTGGTGGAGACTTGCTTTCTAAGGAGATTGTTGCAATTTTTCTTTCAATTCTACCAGAAAAAGAAAAAGAGGATGAGTGTTTGCCATCCGCGTGCACACCAGAGTGCTGTGTGTGTACAATGAATTGCCCAGACGAGCCGTGAGCCAGGGATGTCTGATCTGCCGTCAGGGCCCCCGATGCCGGCTGTGGCAGGGGGACACGGCTGAGTGTGGGCCCCGGCAGCAGAGGAGGAATGCTGCTTCCCAACACACAGACACATGCAGGAGCCCCAGGCAGGACTGGCCCCGAGCGGAACGGGCTCTTGAGCCTTAAGACTGTGTCGTCCGCGGAGGGGGATGACATGGTGCTGAGCACATAATGACCCCCCCAGCAAGTTGCAACCGGTGACATAATGGTGTGGCTTCACATGTCAGGATTCTTAGGGGCCGTCCCAAAGGACCATGACCTCCAGAGACACAACTCCCAAAATAATCCAGAATTTTCACAGTGTAATGTTTGTAAGTGGAAGAATGAACTCAGACAACACTGGGAACAGCCAACTAAAGAAACACCACAAATGCATGGTGCACGGGGCCTGTTCAGAACACAGCACTCCTGTGCCTCAATGGACACCAGCAGCACAGTGACCACACACCGAGGATCGGGGGACAAGGCTGCAGGCCCCTACCTGGGGAGGGGGTCACACTGAGAACAAATAAAGAGCTCTCAGGGCTTAGCAGCATAACCCGAATCACGCACGGGCCGTGATGTGACATCTCTCCAAGGAAGAGATGACATGGACTGCCACTGGCCCCTGGGGAGAAGAGGTCGGAACCAAGAGGACACCACCACACACCCATAGAGACAGAGCTGCTGCATGGAACACAGACCCAGAAGATGACTCATGAGGGTGAGGACGAGGAGAAACTGGCGCCCCGTGCACAGCTGGCAGGAGGGAGATGGGGCAGCCGCTGTGGGAAGGCGGATGGGTCCTTAAAAGTTAAGCACAGACTCATCACATGATCCAGCAAATTCCACACCTAGGGCCTGTGTGAGCTAATCACTGTTGTGTCCAACTCTTGTGACCCCATGGACTAGCCCACCAAGCTCCTCTGTCCATGGGATTCTCCAGGCAAGAATACTGGAGTGGGTTGCCATGCCCTCCCCCAGGGTATCTTCCCAGTCCAGGGACTGAACCCATATCTCTTATGTCTCCTGCACTGGGAGACAGGTTCTTTACCACTAGCACCACAAACCATAAACACGCTTTCAAATAAAAACGCACATACGAACATCCAGACCAGCATGATTCATAGTAGCTAAAAACAAAGCAACCCAAGCATCCATGATGGGTAAACACTTGGTCCATCAACACCATGGAATATGATGCAGCTTTAAAAAAGGAGGTTCTGACACCTGCTACAACCTGGATGAGCCTTGAGGACATGATGCTCAGTAAGAGAAGCAGACACAGAAAGACACACTCTATCTGATTTCACTCACAGGAGGTCCTAGAGGAGTCAGATCCACAGAGACAGGAAGTAGATGGTGGGGCTGGGGGAGGGGCTGGGGAGTCTTTCTGAGGTAATAAAATTGCCCTAAAATTGAGAGTGGTGATGTTTGCACAACCCCAAGAATACATCAGAAACCCCTGGACTGCACATTTTAAGCAGGTGGTATATTATGTGAATTACACCTAACACAGCCGCTGTCAAAGGGAAAAAGAAGGGAAAGAAAGCCTTGATCCCCATCAGGTGAGTGGACCGGAGCCTGCGCACCTGCTTCTGGCTCTCCCACCGGCTGCCCGCCCTACTCTCCACTGACATGCGACACCTGCACGTGGGCTGCAGGCTCGGGCTCGGCTTCGCCCCACATATAGGCAGCGAGATGCTCTCAAAAGCCTTGGGCCCTTGCAGGCTGTTTCTCACACAGTTAAACCATCCCAGATGTGCCCTGAGAGAGGACACAGCTGCAGGTCAGGGTGAAGACCTGCGGTCAGGACCTGCCCCCCTTGTCACCGCAGCCCACTCGCCTGGCACTGCCAGGCTCATCCTCAGAGCCTGGCTCCTCGTCCGAGGTCAGCGGGGAGTAGTGGGCGCCATTGGTCTGGCTCAGGGGCTTCTCCTTCTTGAGCACGGGTGGTTGGTCGTTGTCCTGGTAGGGGACGGGTGAGCTCTTTAGGGAGCTCTCAGGGGACGAGATGGCTGTGATCTCCAGGGGCTGGTTGATGTTGCTGACCTGAGGGCCGGGCACACGCATGAGCGCCAGCAGGCCCAGCATGAGCCCGCATCGGCCACCCAGCCCCAGCACGCCGCTCCCGCCTCACCATGGAGTTGAGGTTCAGGGGGGACCCTGAAGACTGCGTGAAAAGCCCAGCAACAGATGGCAAGGCCCGGCGCTTGGGGGACACACTCGAGCTCAGGCTGGGGGTCCCCGCTGATGCCCGCTTCCTCCGGCCCCGCTTGCGGCTGTCTGGCCCATGGCCCTGGCCACCGTCCCCGCGGGCACCCGAAGGCAGAGGGCTATGTTTGCTGGAAGGTGACTGCTTGGCGCTGCTGGCGCCTGCAGAGATGGTGAAGACGATCCTCCTCTTGGCTTCGCTCTCAGGGTCTGAGAAGCTGGCCTCGCAGGGCAGGTCCCCTTTGCCAGAGTCAGGGAGCGGGCCCAGGGCGCCTAGCCGGGGGCTGGCAGAGAGCTGGGGGGCCGGCGAGGCCGAGCCGCAGGCACGTGGCTGCGTCAGCAGGGGCGGGTGCTGCGGGGTGGAGCTGCGGGACCCCACGGTGGCAAAGAGGCTTCCAGAGCTGGAGGACTCGTCCAGGGCTGGGGGCTCGGCTCCAGGGCCGAGGGGTGCCGGGCTGCCCGCCAGGGCCCCGCTGATGGCCACCGAGCCGGTGTATGCAAAGCCTGTGGAGGACACATGAGGTGGTGGCTCAGCTCTCTGCATGCTTGGCACCCTTGGGCCTTCACTGTGCCCTCCTCCCCACTTCTGGGCCTGCAATAGTCGGGGGCCTGGAGCCCATGCACATGCTGAGTGGACCCTGGGCACCGCCAGCAGAGATGTCCTCCACACACCAGAGCAGCGGCGTTGAGATGAGTGCTGGAGCCGCCTGCTTCACATCAGCGACAGGGACCATCTAGGTGGCAGGCCCCCAAGTACACAGTTGGCCCCACACAGAAGCCCCATCAGATCTCCCAGAGGACCAGACCCTGCCAACAGGGCCAGCACAGGCCCTGGCCGAGCATGGCTGTCTGACACAAGCCGGGCGGGACCCCAGTGTGCGTGCAGCTGAGGATGGCCCTGATGTGGCTCAGACCCTGCGGCTGGAGGGGCCAGGCCTGGCCTCTGGGAACCCTCACCTGTGGGAGCCAGGGCGAGGCTCTTGCTCCCGGAAGCGTTGCCCCCGGTACCATGGGTGTTAGCAGCCACCTGCTTCTCCAGCGTGGATGACGACTCTCGGGCCGGCGGCCCAGGGCTGGGTGTGCTTCTCTGCAAAAAGTAGGCGCACACTGTCAGCCAAGCCAGGCACACACCCAGCTGGGCACATGCCACAGGACGTCCCCATGGCCCGAGGCAGCAAGCCCAGAAGGGCGACAGCCACGCAGGTGAGCCTGGCAGTCAGCCACCAGAAGGCTTTCACAAGGTGAGGTGCAGATGTCTGACCTCAGCTCTAAATGGCTGGGACAGCAGTGAGGGCGGTGGTCATGACCTGATCTAGCAACTCCACTCCGAGGTGAAGCTAGATAGAAACAACTGTCCACACGATACTCATTCACACACGTCCATAGCAGTGTGATTTACAACAGCCCCAAAGTGCATACAACCCAAATGACCATCCACAGAGGATAAACACATGTGTCCCTCCACACCTGGACCATCCGTCAGTCACAAAAAGGAGAGAAGCCCTGACACTCACTCCCATGTGGATGAACCCTCAGGACACGACGCTCAGTGAGAGAGGCAGACACAGAAGGACACACAGTGTGTGATTCCACTGACAGGAAATGTCCTGAACAGGCCAAACCACAGACAGAGTGGGGTACTGACTGTCAGGGGCTGGGGAGGGGGTAGAGGGGTGATGCCGATGGGGATGGGCTTCCTCCTGGGGCACAGAATGTTCTAAAGCAGAGCTGGCTGCAAGACTGGTGAACACACTGAAGACCCCTGCGCTGAACACCTTAGATGGATGAGTTCTGTGTGAATGACACCTCCATAAACACAAAGCCCAGCCCGCTCTACACAAAGTGTAACTCCCAAGTGCATGCGTGTGAGGGAGAACGCAAGTGTGGACTCAGAGGACAGGGCAGCTTCTACAGAACTGGGAACCTCTCTCTCTCCACTCACACCGTCACCAGGCACACTCAGATCTAAGGGTAAAGTTGGAAACCTTACTGGGAATTGGTGCTCTCTTTTTCTCGGGTGTTGCAGCACACTGAAGGTGTAACTGCGAGTAACTGAACAGAAAGTGACTGGGCCTCGAGGAGAAAGGACAGGCCCGTGGCTCTGCCTTGTGCGTGCACATGAGGCCTGGGGCAGCAGGCTTGGGCCAAGGGCCGCACTCACCGCCTTCTCGGCGCGGCTGGGCAGCACCACGCTGGCCAGGGGGATGCTGACGGGCAGCTTGCTGGGCTGCACGGTGCTCAGCGGGATGCTGACGGGCAGGCTGGTGATGGCCTCCCCACTGCTGGCGTAGGCACGCTCCTTCACACCCTGTCGACCAAGACAGTGGTCTCAGGCACTGCCCCGGGGACACTGGGGAGTCCAACCATCCCCCACCCCAACCCATTCTCCCAACTGGCCAGACCCGCCGGTCAGCAGCCTCCACCCATGGCTGGCCCACCCTGCTGCTCAACCACCCTCTCCTCCCATCCCCAGGGACTGAGCTCTCTCCCAGCCTCACCTGAGGGCAAGGGTACAGTCGGGTGGCCATGCTGCCCCCTCCTGCAGGACCTCCTTTGAGAACCTCCTCCCCACCCAGGGCCACAGATGCTCTCGGAGAGCAGCCTCACCTTCTCAGGACCCTTCTCTCCCATCTGTAAAGCCGTGGGGGATGAAGGTCGGGGGTCTTGTGGGCTCAGCTTGATGCCATTGGTGATGCCAGGGCTCTGGTAAGGGAGCCCGTTCTCCTTGGCATGCTCGGCTCTAGAAACAAGGCGTGTCCTCCGTCACTCTTTGGGGAGCCCCCCACGGCTGCAGCTTTGTGTTCAGAGCTGACAGCCCTGGCCTGGCAAACCCCCAATTCTCTTCCTTTTTTTTTTTTCTCAATTATTTTTATTAGTTGGAGGCTAATTACTGTACAATATTGTAGTGGTTTCTGCCATATATTGACATGAATCAGCCATGGATTCATATGTGTTCCCCATCCTGAACCCCCCTCCCACCCCTGATTCTCTTCCAAACTGATGATCTCCAGCTCAGAAGACCCGTGGGGCCTCCAAGCCCCTGACGCCAGCCTGCACTCACCGTGGGTGCAGCTCACTGGCAGCTGCCTTGCCGCTGGCCGCGTGGTCCTGGCTCAGATGGCGCCGCAGCACCAGCTTGGCAGGGGATAGCCTGGTGTAGTCAGGCAGGGCCAGCCCAGACAGCTTCTCCAGCCGTGGCCGGCCACTGTGGCTGGGGGTGCAGGGCACGACCTCCTGGTCTAGCGGGGAGGCCAGGTACTGGGGGGTGTTCTGCTTGGGCGAGGGCCGACCCAGTGCGCTGCAGAGCTCATAGCCGGCTGCGTGGCCATTCATGGAGAGCTCGGGGCTCAAGCTGCTGAAGGGTGGCAGGGAGAAGCGGGCGCAGTCCAGCTCTAAGTGCAGCCGGCCAGGCTCGGCCTCTGGCTTTCCACGAAGCTGCAGGGTCAGCGCCTCGTCAGGCGGCACGCAGGACTTGAGCTGCAGCAACTCCTGCTGCCGTTGGCTCTTCTCCAGCTCCACAATGCTGATCTGTGGGATGAGTGGTGGGGCGTCAGGCCCGTCAAGCCCCAAGTCCAGCACCCCGCCAGCCAGGACCATCCAGGAGAGAGAGGGGGACATGGCTGGAGAGCTGACAGGTGAATGAGCGTCAGAGTGGGGCGCAGGTGCACAGAGGTGGTAAGGAGCCCAGGCTCCGTGGCCACCATGGTGACTGCCAGGGTAAGACATCAGGATAGCAGCTGTCCTGGGTGGGCCAGGGCTCAAGGAACTGCATGTTTTGGCTTTTCCCCACAATAAACAGGCTGCTTCTTGATTTTCACTTACAGAGTAAGGTCAGAACCCAGAGTCCCTCCTAAGACCCCTCCTGCAGGCCCCACTACACACAGGCTTGGGCAATAAACCTCGTTTCTGTGACACATGGGCTATGACTCAGCAGAAAGCTGCTCTCGGGAGGTGTGTGCTCAGGACACATCCTCAAAGGGATCTCAGTGGACACCAGTTCACCGTGAGTGCTCTGTGGTCAGAGATCCCTCAAAAAATTCCCAGGATCTAGTGCTGGGAGCTGCAGTCTGAGGGGAAGGCGTCTCTGCAGGTGGGCCAGGGAATGGGGAAGGGGGCAATGAAGGAGGGTCCAATCCCCAGCCCAGCCTCACCTGCAGCTCCAGGCAGTGCCTCTGCTTCTCTGAGATCTGGCTCTTCAAGGCCTGCTTCTCCTTCAGCAGATTCTCCAAGGACAGCGTGGACCAGTCCAGCTTCAGCTCCTCACACCGTGCCTTGAGCTGTGGGGAGGGTGTTGGGCTGTGAGCCCTGGCGGGCAGCCCCCACCCAGGTATACACAGCTGGGGGAGGTTGGGAGGGGCTCTGGTGGACGGTTCCTACCCAGGTGTGCCTGCAGTGGGAGATTGGGAGGAGCCCATGTGCACGGCTGGGGCACGGAGGAGCAGGAGTCTGCTGCCCAACCCCAAGCCGCACCCTCAAAGCACAGAGCAGAGCTACTTCTGGAGGCGGGGCTGAGGAGATGGGTCCCCAGGAAGGACACCCTGCAGGAGCAAGTGAGGGACATCTAGGAGAGGAGACAGGGCACTCGCAGCAGGCGAGGCCCAGCACACAGGGTGATGTGGGCTCAGGGTCCCTGGGCTGTACGTGGGGGAAGGGCTGAGGGTGCCCTGGCAGTGAAGATCAGAGCCCGAGTCTGAGATGTGCCAGATGCCCTTCGAGCATCCTGATGGTGGACGGGGGCAAGAGGGGTCCCGCCTGGCCCAGAGTGCTCACCAGTCTCAAGCTCTGGCTCCTCAGCTCCCGGTTGCCCTTCTCCAGCTGCTCTGTCTGTTCCCTCAATTGCTGGTTGTGAGCCGAGATCTCCTTCTGCGCTTGGATCAGGTCGTTGTAGGTCAGCGCCTTCACTCCCAGCTGAGGACACACCACGGCCCAGGTGGGCACTCACGGGGCCACGTGCAGACTTCCCCTCGTTTTCTTTGACGCGGACCATTTTTAAAGATTTTACTGAACTTGTTACAATATTCTTTGTTTTATGTGTTTGGTTTTTTGGCCGCAAGGCATTCGAGATCTTAGTTCCCTGCTCAGGGATCAAAACCGTGGCCCCTGCACTGGAGGGCGAAGTCTCAACCACTGAACCCCAGGGAGTCCCCAGAGCTGCCCTCTGACCACCCCCAGGCTCCAGGCCTCCTGTGAGGGAGACTTTCAGAGTCAGAAGCACTGGAAAGGCAACAGTCCACCTGGATATCAGCTGTCTGGGCTGGGGTCCCGCCCCCCTCACCTTGCCCACCCGCCCGCCCAAAGCTCAGCACTGGGGGTCATCTGCAAGGCCCCCCGGCAGCCAGGGCAGGGACCAGTCTACCTCGTCCAGTTTCTGCTGGAAGAGCCTCTTGATCTCCTCCTTCTGAGCTTGGCAGTGGCCGAACAGCTGCTGTGCTGCGCCTAGCAACCGGGCATTCTTCTCCTGCAGGGCAGGGCTGATAAGCGCAAGGACCATGGCGGGGGCGAGGTGGGGGAACCGCAAGCAGACCGGCCAAACCCCCATGAGGGCTTCACCTCAGAATGTGGTGCCACACAGCGGTGGCTTGAGGTCCTGTTTATGAGGATCACGGGGCCTTATGCTGCCCACCCTCCAGAGAGCCATGCCCACGCTGGACCTGACTGAGGCTGCGGGGGACACGCCCAGGCTGAGGGCCCCCTAGACGCCTCTCAGCACGGGTGGACACTGTCCCCACATGAGGATGCCTCAGCCATCGCAGCAGGGCCAGCTGCAACCACGGGGCCATCGGGCCCTGAGGTGGGGGATGACTGCCCCCGCCCCCCCCTCCCCGGGGACTTGGCCGGCAGCACGGGGGCCACACCTTCTCCTGGTCCAGGAGCTGCTGCAGGTTGGCCTTGTACTGAGGGGTCTTCGTGTATGCCAGGAACTGTAGGTACTGAATCTTGAAGGACTCTGTAAGGAGAGAACAGACTGGATGTCAACATAGGAAAGATCCCGCCAAGGCTCAAGGCATAGGTGGGGTTCATGAACACAAGCATGAACACAAGCCCCACAGGGCTTGGGGCCTGGGGCTCTGCCCCCAGCTGGGGTCAACCCCTCCTGGGGTCCCTCGAAGCTCCTGCCATCACCAGCCCATGTGTCCTTTCTCCCCACACGTGTGGGTTTTGGTTGCCAGTTTTTCTTGGTAAACATATGCTACTGCTGTTCAGAAAACTGATAGCTCCCAAGGTTGTAAAGGGTTTCCTTCACCCAGCTTCTAGAGCTGAGTGATCTCAACGCAGCCCGCCCTCGCCCATGAGTGCAAGCTCAAGTTGGCAGAACAGGGTCTGGTCCCGTGGGATCCCGGCACTTTGGACACGGAGGCCATTCTCTGGGGGGTGGAGCTGCCTCCCTGGCCCCACTCACTCAATGCCAGCAGCCCCCAGGGTGGCCCAGTGTCACCTGGGGCAGGACCTTAGTCTCAGACCGCCACACGGGCCCTGGTGATCCCAGAACCCGGGAGTCCCCTGGCAGGATAAGCCCGAGTTGTGGAGGTCGTATGCTCGGCTGCAGGGCATGGGGTTCCTGCTGGGGTGCAGACCAGCTGCTGCTCGCCCTCCCTGACCCGTGGGCCCAGCTGGTGCTCACCTAGCAGCCTGTGCAGGGCGGGCGGGGTGGGTGCCAGCAGCAGCTGCTCGGGGGTAGGCCGCTGCACGCTGGGAGGTAGCTGGTAGAATGGGCTGTGAGGTGGCCTGTGCGCATCTGCGGGGACACAGCAGTGATCACAATCCCATAAATGGGGCCCAGAAGGTCACTGCAGAGCCTTCAGTGCCCCAACAATAGGACTCAACACAATTCCCACAGCCCCAACCACCAGATGCTAAGCCGCACATGCTCGTGACCTGGCCGCTCACTCTGAGCCAAGCCTCCTGCCAGGACCAGGAGCGTGGGAAGCCAAGATCCCAGGACCTGCTCCCGGGCAGATGGCTGGGTCCTCATGGCTGGGCCAAGCTGACCACACCAATGGCCCCAGGGGACCCGAGGTGGTACCTCCCTCAGGAAGGTTCAGAGCTTGGGCGTACCCACACAGCATGCACACGACACTGGCACAGCAGCTTCTGCCCAAGGACCCCATGGCACTCCTGGGTCCCATAGCACGGGGGCAGGGCTCACCCTGCGGCAAGGGGGAGGCCGCTCGTGACACAGTCTGGGCGTGCAGCAGGTCCAGTGCGCTCTGGGTCTTCTTGGGCTTGCGCTCGGGGTTGGTGGCACTCATCTTCTTGGGGCGCCCGCGCTTCCGACCTGCCATCTTCCGGCCCTTCTTGTTCAGCTTCTTCTTCCGGGCCTTGGAGGGAGATGGCTTCTTGACAGCGGCCGTCCCAGCTTTCTCCTCCTCAGCACCAGAGTCCTGGTGGAAACCCACATGAAGGACTGGCCAGAGGTGTGGGCTCTGAGGGCGGCCTGGCTCCCTCCCCGACCAGAGTGGGGGCTCACCACGGGGGTGTCCGCGGGCACAGCTGCCTTGCTCTCGGGCACCTTGGTGGGCGTGGTTGTGTTGCTCTTGTTCTCCCGCTGCTGCCGGCGCCGAGCTGCCTCTTGTTCCTCCTGGTGGGCAGGTAGGGGGCATCTCTTGAAGCTCAGGCACCATGGGGACCCCCCTGCCTCCAGGGGCCCCAGAGCTCAGGCTCCCGGGGGATGGTCAGCCAGGTTCCGCTCATCTGCACCCTTGATGATGGTGCAGGGAAAAACAACACCCACACCCTGTCTCTGCCAGGACCCCAGCAGCCTTCAGATCACAAGGAAAAGTTACTGAAGGCAGAGCCTGGGTGCGGAGCGAGGAGGTGCTGCCAGATGGCCTGGCCTGGCCTGGCCTCCCTGAGGTCCCCACAGCTGCTTCCCCACTTGGGGGTGCTCTGTCCATGAAGAGGGCTGAGGGACACCCTGGGGCACCAGCAGGGTGTACAGTGCTGCCCATGAAGCCGTTCTGTCTTGGATGGGGTGGTAGTCCCCACACTGTGACCTGAGGTCCTAGCGTGGTAGGAGGCACCCGGGCAGGGGCTCCTCCAGGCTCACAGGCTCATCTGAGCCTCCGAAGAGAAAGATGCTGGGATGCTAGGACACATCCCACAAGGTTCAGGGACAAACCGACAGGGACCAAAGGGCAGCAAAATGTTTCAAAATGTTAACTATTTTCAACCTATTATCAACCTATTTTCCCCCAAATTGTTGAAACTGCTCAAGTCAAGGCTGTCACAGCCAGGGGCCCCTGGTGCCCAGGCCCAAATCCAGACCCTCAGACCGGACCCTTGGGCCCTGGTCAGCAGCAACCAGGCTTGTAAGTCAAGGGCAAACAGACAAACTTACCCTGAGTTTTGGATTTTTTAGACTAGAAAAATAGTTTTCAAGCTAAAAATGGAAAAGAAAAAGTCTCATTAGCGGTGGAAAACCCTGCAAGATAAAAGCCATATCCCAGACCCACCAACGCCAGGCAGTGACGTGCCCAAGGAACGCGCCGGACCCCGGGGTGGGAGTACAACCTCTGTCCCCCCAGGTTAGCTGAGAGGCAGGGCAGGGGCGCTTGGGCACCACTCACTATGGTGCGGTCGATGGTGTGCAGGTAGTAGGAGACTGGCTTCCCCGTCCACGACACCGAGCCTTTTAGCGGTGACAGCTCCACGACGCGCATGATGGTGCCGATGTCTGTGCACAGTGGGCCCACAGGTCAGGGGGCGCCTGGGCATCCCAACCACCAGCCTGGGAGGTGCCCATGGCCCTCCCTCCCCCAGGCCCTCAGCCGAGGATGAGGGTGGGAACAAGCCTGCAGTGTGGGCTCTGAAAGAGTCTCGGAGTCCAATGAGACAGCCAGGGCGGCTGCAAGGATGCCCAGGCCCTGTACACGCCCCCAAGGGGCACTGTCACTCTCCCATGGAACTCAAGACTCTCACCCCTACAGCCCTGACCAGGGCCATGTCTGGGGACTGTCACATGGGGGATCCTGCATGGAGTGAGTGGAGCCAGGCCCAGGATGCCCCCAGGTCACCACTGCTAGTGGGGATCCTGCTTTAACCCACTGCAGGTGCTGACAACCAGACATGTTAAGAATCTGGCAACATAAGTGCTCTTACCACTCAAGTTTCTACTGTTTATTCTGAAGTTCAGAGGCGCAAAGGGCTTCGAGGACACGATTCTGCCACCTGGAAAACAGAGAGGGGTCAGTACCACCCTGAGGACACCAGCACGCGATGCAAACAAGAGCCTGATGACATCAGAGCAGAGGGGTGCAAAAGCATTCAGAAAACGAGTCCCCAGAACCCAGAAGGGAGAACCCACTGTGAGTCAGTCCTCTGCTCCCAGTGAGAGCCAAACTAAGAGGCATCTGAGTGCCCTGGCCTGGAGCACCAAGTGCCTTCCTGTAAAGGTGCTCACAGCCCCACAGCCCCGGGGCTCGGGGTGGGCCAGTTGGGGTCCTGTACAGTGTCTGCACTGTGCTGATGACCCAGACCAGAACCAGCCCCGATCCACACTCACAGAGAGAGCCTGAGGGAGAACTGGGCCCTGACCCACACAGACAGAACCTGAGGAGAAGCGGGTGCTGATCCACACAGACAGAACCTGAGGAGAAGCGGGTGCTGATCCACACAGACAGAACCTGAGAACCGGACCCTGATGCACACAGACAGATCCTGAGGAGAACCGGGCCCTGATGCACACAGACAGATCCAGAGGAGAACCGGGCCCTGATCCACACAGACAGAACCTGAGGAGAACCGGGTCCTGATCCACACAGACAGATCCTGAGGAGAACCGGGCCCTGATCCACACAGACAGAACCTGAGGAGAACCGGGTCCTGATCCACACAGATAAAACATGAGGAGGACCGGGTCCTGATCCACACAGACAGATCCTGAGGAGAAGCGGGTGCTGATCCACACAGACAGAACCTGAGGAGAACCGGGTGCTGATCCACAGACAGAACCTGAGGGAGAATTAGGGGTTTGCCCCACATAGCCATAATACGAATGGTTCAAGTCAGAAACGGCTACTCAGGAAAGTTTTTCCAGTAAAGTCCTGGCATGCGTGCAAATCACTGCAGAGAAAAGAAGAACCACAAGGATTCGAAGCCTTGTGCAGAGAGGTCACTGTGACTGGTGATGTTACCTTCAGAGTACAAAAGCTTCCCCCCCACCCTATGACACACTGTCTCTAAATGCATCAACACTAGAAGGACTGAAACTTTCCAGTGTAAGAAATAAAGAACCAAGAATAAATGTCAAAGAGGAGCTTCCCTGACGGCTCAGTTTTTAAGAATCTGCCTATCAACACAGGCCACATGGGTTCAATCCCTGGTCCACGAGGAACCCAAGTGCCACGGAGCAACTAAGCCCATGTACCACGACTACTGAGCATGTGCTCTAGAGCCAGTGCTCTGCAACAAGAGAATCCAAAGCATTGAGAAGCCTGCACACCACAACTAGAAATCAGCCCCTGCTGGCCACAACTAGAGAAAAGTCTGCGCAGCAGGAAACACTCAGCACAGCCAAAATACATAAATATAAACTTACCACAAAAAAGTGAAAGAAATATGTTACAAGGAAAGTGGAGTGGTCAGGATGAGCCTCTCTGCACATGCTCACATGCTCCTGACTGTCCAGGCGCAAAGAGCATCCCAACACCAGCCTGGCCTCTGGCACCCCACGAGGAGGTGGTGATGACAGGTTCCCAGCCAGCTAGGTGCACATTTAAGCAGTCAGCTGGCTGTGCACACAGTCACTGTGGCCAGTTTCGGGGCTCCCCAAGGCATCGTGGGAGCGTCTGAAGAGCGGGGCCGGGGAGCAGGAGGGAGTAAAGCCCACACATTCCAGGATGCTTTAATTAGGAAGCCCACGCAAGTCTTCAGGGTCAACAGGATATGCTGAGACGACTTCTGTGGGCATGTCACTGCAGGACCACAGATCCTAGGTGACAGGAGGGCCTGGCAGGCAGTCCCACTCCCACCAGGGGCCACGAGCCAAGCATGTGTGACACCCGAGAACTCAGGACATGGGGTGCAGAGGGCAAGATTAAGCTGACCATGAGGAACCAGTGCACCACAGGGGACATTCCATAAGACAATGATTCAGGATGCCCAGTGGGCAGTGTCCAAATGGAGGGGCTGTGCCCTGAGGCCCAAAGGCTACAGAATGGGATCCCACAGCCAGACAGACACCTGGGCCAGCTGGGAGGATGGCAATTCAAGCTCTTCTCTGGATGGAGCCCAGGGCTGGGGGAAGGCACTCACTCCTATAAACTATCAGGAGTGACCCCTGCGCATGCTCAGGCTTGTGCTCACCTGCACACACATGCAAATACATGTAGTCGGCAGTGCTGAGGGCAGCTAGAAACTGCTTCTATGCTGGGTGATCCTTTCAACTCTTCTGTCCACTTGACATGTTTCATGATGAAACATGGAGGACCCACCCTGCTTCTCTCTCAGCCATGGACCTCAGGAGGACATGGGGGTCTCTCTGGAGCCTCAGGGACAGGGATGTGGGGGACAGGGGAGGCAGGGCAGGGTGCCCACACGTATCAGGCAAGGCCCTCCTCCAGGACAGGGGACTCCTGCTGTCTTGGGTCACAACTAGAGAAGCTCTTCCATCCCCACTTCCTGAACATGCCAGACGTGCTCTCCCACCCTGAGCCAGAGCCCAACTCCCCAGGGAACCAGCAGTGGTGATGAGAACATGAATGAATGTTAGTCCTCATAGGTGTGACGCTCCACAGGCACCAGGATGCCCTGGGCACCATGAAGGTATGCCCCATGGGCTGCTGCACCTGAGCAGTGCAAGACCATGATGCAGTTGCATCCCTGCTCCCTGTACCTTCAGGAGTCTGGAGGTTTCTCAGAGACCACCCACTTGGGGACAGCCCTGCTCGGGTTTGCCACAGGCTGGGGCAGGAGCTGGGGACACAAGAAGACCCAACACCCCGGTGTTTCTGAAGGGTAGGGAGGGGAGAGGAAGAGGTTGGGCAGAGGAGGGAGGGGAGGCCAGTGAGGTCACCAGGGTCAGAAGCAAGAACTCAGCCTTGGCACCTCCCTCTCGGCCTCTGTGTGGACTGTCAAGAGCCCCCATGAGCTTCCAGCCAGATCCCATCAACACTCCCTCCATAAAACCACTCATGTCGCCCCATGTCTGAACACTTTCACATGCACAGGGAGCACACACCCTTCCTAAAGGCTACATGGACTCTGACTCAGAATCAGAATTGAAGCTCAGCTTTCAAGCTCTCATGACCTCTCCCTCCAAAGCTGTGCCCAGCAGTCCTACAGAGATTCTGAGACTCAGAGCTGGAGAGGTGAGCTCCCCTCCTGGGTGCATCTGGTCTCACCCGGCCTTGGGACGGAGAATAAGAGAGACGGGGGAAGTGGCCGGGGGCTGCGGCCAGGCCTCGAGGGTCCAGACACGAGAAAGGCCTCGGCAAAGTCAACAGGGCTGGTCTGGGCAGCCCCAGTGCCCCCAGGCTGAACTTCCATTTAGTCAAGTTCCAGTATAAGACACACAGTTAAGTGTCCAGGACATCCTTGAACTAAGAAGTTACGCACTGTCCACAGGAAACCCAATGACCTGGACAGTCTGCAACTCCCTTGCTAACCAGGTCCCCACCCCATTTTCTCAGGCGGCTCTGCAAGCTCTGGCCTGAGCAGTGGTGGGGTCCACTCTGTTCACTGCACATGCTGAGCTGGGAGGCACCCTGCCTGGAACCTAGGTGACAGCAAGAAGGACAGATGGACCCCTCCGTCCCGCCCCCGAGGCCTTCCCACTGGGGCTGGATCAGAGGATGCTAGTCAGGACCCCACCATGCGTGATCAGGGCCGCTGCTACACGGCCCAAGCAGGACAGACACGGGACAGACGTGGGACAGACGTAGGACGGATGCGGAAGAGACGCGCAGAGCAGAGAGAGAGGGATACATTACCTTCCTTCATGTTTGCAAACCGCTCCTTCAGCTGGTGATCCACCTCAGGACCAAAGGCAAAGTTATTCACAAATACAACACTGCAAAACAATGCTCCAGTTGAGTGCCAGGTTCTGCGTGTACACGCACAGAGCTGCAGCGCCTCCACCGCAGCGCTGTCCGCACCTCCTCCGCGAGGGGCGTGGGCTCAGGGCCCACAGGGTGAGGGCTTTCCCGGGTGCCGCCAACACGGACCCTATAGCCAGGTCCCATGACAAGCAGGCTGCTGGCTCCCTGGGGAAGGCCCGCACCGACACGGGCGTCCCCGAGGCTGGTGCATGGGCAGTACAAGCTGGGCCACCTAGGAACACATGGGTGAGAATGCCTGGGCAGGAAGGCAGCACAGACCCATCAAGCTACACTTGGAAGGGAGCCCACCACCTGAGGGCCCAGCACAGTTTTTCCAAGGCAGGGCCTGGCCAAGGCTTCCCATTTTTCCAATGTTCTCTGGCGTCTGAGGGCCTGAGAAGCTCTGCCTGCAGATGCCCACCAGGCAGTTGGGGGCTGCTGCCCCACCCAGCGTCCCCCACCCCTTGGCCATCCTCTGTCCCCCAGCTCCTGTCCACATGGGGGATCTCCCCCAACCTGGGTTTCCCTCCTCATTTGAATGTGACAAAGTAGTCAGCCGCCTGCCGGCCCCATGCTGCCCCTCCTGAATCTCAGCGAAAGGACAGTCACGGGGCCTGACCAGGGCTAGGACACACTGACCGTTGTGAGAGAGTGGCAGTGGGAGCCCTTAGCTGGGGGCTAAGCTCTCCCAGCCCCTCCTTGGGAAAAAGTGCAGGGACAGTGAGGTTATGACGGGCAGAACCCTGACGAGACCGGCTGGCTGGGAGGCCTCCACAGGGAGCAGGGACATAGCCTGGGAAGGCTGGATGCCAGGGTCTCGAGGGGACTGGCCAGGAGAGGGCGTGAGCCAGGACAGAGCCTGGGCCGCTCTGACTGGGGTCACCCGCAAGGAGACAAGGCAGCTCCGAGGCCCGTGGAAGTTGGGGTGAGGCCCCTCAGCACAGAGGAGCAGGTTGCGGGGGGACACCTCGACTGGAAGCAGAGTGCCAAGGGCGCTGTCTGGGGACCCGGCAGAGCCTGGGGCCTCGAGGTGCTCCAGGCCAGGTGGACAGTGGGCAGCCAAGGCTGGGGAGTAGGCCCCTCAGCCAGCTTTTCCTCGCCATGACCATGGACCATGGAGTCCAGATACAGCCGCAGGGCCCCACAGGAGAGGCCCCACAGCAGCTGCAACAGAGTCCCCACACTCAGACTGAGGGGGACACTTCAAGCCAGCATGTCCTCTTGAGAAAAGGGGGAGAGTGTGCCCGCTTCAGGGGAGATGTCCTCACTGGGATCAAAGATGGGGTCAGACCTCTGTGAGCGAGAAGATAATGGCGGGGCTCAGGGCACCCTGCAACAAGCACGTGTGGAAAGAAGGGAGAGGCAAGTGCTCAAGGTCAGGGAGAACCAGTGTGACCTCCTCCCCCGGTCAGAGCCAAGAGTGTGTGACACACTTGCCCCTTGGTCACTGAGGCCTGGGGAGCCACCAGGTGTGTGAGCACACGGCCCCACGACCAGGGCCAGACACGGCCAGGAGGATGCCCATCAGTCTCCAGGGCAAGAGACATACAGGCGGAGCCACCAGTAAGCTCAGGACAGGTGGTGGTGGCAGTCTGGACGCTGCTGTCCAGCCCAGGGAGGGCGGGGGGCGGGGCTCTGTCTGCTGGTGTGACCCTCAGTGAGGGAAAGCCGCATCACCCCTGCTAGCCCGGCCCCTCGGCCCCACCCCCAGGCCCCGGCCGTACCTTGTGTTAGCAATCCGTTCTCTCCACTCCTCCGAGAGGAAGTCCCCCCTCTCCAGCTGAAAGGAGATAAGAGGGACAGCCCATCACTTGGGGTCTCGCTGCCTCTGTGTCCCACCCCCGTCTGCCCCCCAAGAAGAGATGGAATGATCAGAGGCCCTGACTGGGAGGATGTGGAAAGAGGCCAGGGTCACAGCCGAAGGCTGACCATGCGCGTGGACACAGCTGCCAGAGCACTGGAGAAGGTGCTGGGAAGTCCCAACGCCATGTCCACTCAAGGCCAGCAGGGGGCGCCCCAGGGTGGCCGTGTGCGACAGAGCTGGACTGCAAGGGCTGTGACAGCACCAGGGCACCAGGGTGCAGCCCAGCGCCCACACTGCTGCAGGTGGTCTCCCTGTGGCAGGGGCATCCTGATGCTTCCAGTACTGCTCCCGCCACTGTCTCCCTCAGAGGACTAATCTCATTTTGCCTCGAGGTCAAAGTGCATCTGAGACAACACAAGTCTCGTTAACCTCACTGTCCAGAACTATAACATTTTACAAACCAAGAAATCTGATTTTATGATTCTTCAAAAAATGTTATCATCCCACCCCCAGTGTCCACCCACGTGAATATCTGCACACCCCTGTCCATGGAGCACAGGTGTGGACAGTGCACGTGTCCCTTGATGGACAAGCAGATACACACAGGTCCCCCCACACCCAGGAGCATCCCTCAGAAGCCCTGACACTTGCTACCATGTGGATGGACCCTGAGAACATGATGTTCAGTGAGAGGCAGACACAGAAGGACACACAGGATGTGATTTCACTGATGGGAAACGTCCACAACAGGCAGGATCAGAGGCAGAACACCTTGGGGGAGCAGGTGGGGGTGACTGCTAACGGGCCCTCGTCTGCACTCCCACCAATGCCCCCAGGTGACTGGGAGGCCCTCCAGGCAGCAATGGGGCAGCACCACCCAGCAGGCCTAGCACCCAGCAGAGGTCCTTGCAATGGGCAGTGCCCAGGCAGAGCAGCTGCTGGTTCAGCATCCTCCCTGCACACAGAAACCACCCAGCATGTGAGGGGCTGAGCCCTGCTGGGCAGAAGAGAGGCAGCCATCCTAAAGGGTCCGGGAGCAGGCAGAGGGCTGTCCATGTCCAGGGCATCCATCTCTGCGTCTCCCAAGTCTGCCACCACTCCCTGCAAACAGCCCAGTGGGGCTGGGCACCGATTCAAGTTCAAAATCCTCGTGATGCTGTGCAGGAGAAATCTCATGTTGTGGGCCCAGGGCTGTGTCCTGGGGAGGGTGCTCAGCATCCCACACCGTCTGTGCAAACTCCTCCCATCTTCTTGGAGTCTGGGGGTAGGTAGGAACACCAGCATGACAGGCACCCAGAAAGAACCCTGGGCACGGGGTCTGTGTGAGGCCCCCAGGGACCACACCTCCCTGGTGCTGTTGTATTTCATCTGGGCACAGGGTCTGTGTGAGTCCCCCCCGGGGACGTGCACGTCACTGGTGATGTCACATCTTGCCTGAGGGAGTTCAGTGCACCTTACTAAAAGCTCATGCCTGGTCCTGGGACTCACCCACCGCCTCCTTCCTCTATTTGCCCTGTCCTATCTAACACACCAGTTGGTAAGGACAGCCAACTGCTGTGTCCCTGGTTCCCTCAAGCCCAGCCTGATGCGGCTCCTCTCTGTGGGGCTCACCCACCCAAGGAAAACCACTGAAGCCACAGCACCACTGCTCCGCGGTGGCCTCATGCTCAGGGCAAGAAAACAAGCCATTGTCCCGCCCGCCTGGCCACCTGGCTACCTACCGCCTCTTGGCACAGGCAGGCCATAACTGGTTGAGGACAGGGACTGACCAGGCCAGCTCTGGGTCACTGGGGCCCGTGTGCCCAAGTTAACAGTGACATGAAGATAAGCACAGCCTTCCTGTCGCCCCCACTGAGGACCGTGACTGGCCCAGCTAGCCCAGACCTCCAGCTGCAGAGGAATGCGCGGGGAGGAGGGACACGCACAGCCCCACCCCACACAGGCATGAGGGCTGCCCCGCATGACCACCCTTCCCCCAACCAGGGAGACCCCCAGTGTGCTCCTGCTCCAGGCCACAAACCAGACGGGCGGACGCACCCCCCACCTCCTATAAGCCACTACACACACCACACGGCACACATGCTCCCCCTGCAGAAAGCACTCCCTCCCGGGAGGCCCCCAGGGAGATCCCACCCAAAGCCACAGGGTGGGAGCCAGCAACGGGTGCCCCAGACTCAGTCATCCTGCCACCTGCCCTGGAACAGCCACAGGCGCCGACGCACCACCCAACTGCCAGCCAGTCCCTCGGCAGCTGATGTGTGCTAGAGCCACTGGAGAAGAGCAGGGTTCGTGCTCTGGGCGGCCCGTCATCAGCAGCAGGCCCCTGCCAGCCTGACCGCACCAGACCGAGGGCAGCCTTGCACATTGCCACCTGGCCGGGGGCACCTCCTTCAGCAGCACTTCTGAGAACTCACTGCCACCCTAGCACAGGAAACCTGCTTGTGCCAGGCCCGCCACCAGGCACCAATGGTACGTGGTCAGACGTCCTCAGGCAAAGGGGGCACCCTGAGGTGCTGGGGACACAGGCAGAAGCCGGGCACAGGGAGGGCCCAGGGCTTTGACAGGAAGAGGGGACTCAGGAGGAGACTCCAGTGCCCGCAGGTAATCAAGTTGGCTGGGGTATCTGCTGTCCCTTGTCCATCATCAAGTGATGAAGGCAGGACTCTACCTGCCGACCAGGGCGCCTGCTTGAAGCCACACAGAACCTCGAGGAGGACCTCCCCAGACCCAGCATGCAAGCTCCCGCCAAGTCCAGGAGTTGGGTAGGAGTTGTCACCACGTCTTCCTGGAGCAGGGCTGCCTGGACACCAGAGGCACTGCTGGCTGCCGCTCCAGACACGGCAGCCAAAGCCACGACTTAAGAGTCCTCAGAGCCAAGTTCTGCTTGCAGCCACCTTGCGGGGCCTAAGAGCAGGGCCCTGATGAGTGCCTGGCCCTCAGGAGGCAGAGAACAAGAAGGTTTCCACACAGGGGGCCCCACAGTGCACCAGCTGACATGCCACCAACCCCCCAATCCCCCTCCTCTAGAATTGCACGGCCTCCGGATGTCGACAAGAGAGGGAGGAAGGAGCGGTGCCCACCAGGCAGGCAGCCCACCAGCCTCACCCCTACCTTGGCCTCCAGCCATGGGTATCGTGCCAGCAGCTAGAACCACACTATGAATCAAGCACCGCAGGCCGCTGCGGGTCCATGGGGCATTCTGGGGCCTGAGTCAACCAGGCTTTTACACCACATGTTTCAACCATTTGGCCCTCTTATCAGAAGCAGGAAGCACTTTATAATTTTAAAACCCTGTGTTTTAGGAGGTTGTGAGGTCTTAGGAAACCGGCAAGCCATCCAGGAACTCTTATCGGCATGCCAGTGGGACTGGGGACAGGACAGGAAGAAGTTTCTCAGAAACAGAAATGAACTGGACTAACTTCCCTCAGCCTGAGCAACAAACACTAGAGAACTGCAGGTGTGGGAGGACACAGGGGCCAGAGGTGACACCCCTCACCTTTCACTGAGGGGAAGAAACCTATAAGAAATTCCACCAAGAGAAAGGGGAGGGGAGTTGGGCCCACACTGCAGATGGGCAAGTCCTGGCCCAGGGAAAACAGGGCAGAAGCAGAGGGTGATAGCTGACCTTGCGACATGGGGTCAGCATCACCTGGACGGCAAAGTCAGACTCACAAGACAAGGAAACCAGTATCCCCCTGGGCTGCAAATACCCACAACAAAAAGGAGCTATTCACAAGGTCAGATGGAGTTGACCTCAGGCCTGGAAGGCTGGCTCAACCTTTAAATCTTCTATTCTATGGAGTAAAATGAAAACAATCAACAACCACAACCACAACAGTCACCCAGAAGTAACACCAGCAACTACAGCAAGGCTGCAGATAAAGGCCTTATCATCTGTTAACTGACCACAGACAAAGTCAACTGCTCACCTCCCCAAGTAGCCTCACGGAGGCAGGAGAATGAGGCTGGAGGCCTGAAACTACTGGACTCTGGGCTGACTCCCACGATGCTGTCATGTTTGCTGGGGGGGCGGGGGGGGAGGCGGCAGCGTGGAGCAGAGCAGAGCAGAGCGCCCACTGAGTATGGCTGCTCGTGACACAACGGAGATGGCTCAGCAGACAGGGGCAGTCTCTGCAGGAGATGGCGTGGGGCGGCTGGGCGTCCACTCAGAGAGAGATGAATCTAGACCAGACCTCACACCCCTTGAGAATTACCCAAAAGAAACCACAGACCTAGAGAGGAACTGCACAATCAAGGACCACCTACAAGATATCTTAAATTCAGGTGAGCTGAGACTGGACTTTCACATCAATACTGAGGGTGCAATCCCTGAAAGGAGAACCAGTCAGGTGGCTCCAGGGCCAAAACCCCCTCTCTCCTGCTGGCCCCCCACCCCCTAGAATCACATGCACCATTCTATTCCCTGAGGCAACAAGGAACGCTAGCTCTGGCCCCACAGCCCCCGTCCCCCAGGACCCTCAAGAGCAAGACATGAGCAATGTTAGGAACCTTTGGAGGGACCAGGAAGACCACTTCGCAGCCAGGTGGAGCTTGAGGCCTTGGGGGACCTGGGATGGGAAGTAAAGTGTGTGCTGAAGAGCCGGTTTGGGACCTTCCCCCCGCGATGCCCTGGCCACAGTCCTGCAGATAAGAGGCTGCATGGCAGCCCTATGTCCACAGGCCACTGAAACCTGCAGTGGCTGACAAAGCCCTGAGCACAGAACGTGCTGGAGCTGAGAACATGGAGTTGGACAGCCCAGGCAGGAGCAGAGAGAAGCCAGAACATCAGGATCCAGGAGCAAGACCCAAAGAACCTCGGCGTTGAAGGCCGAGCTGACGGATGCAGGGAGAGGGGCACAGGGGCAGCGGCACCAGGCCAGCTCTTTGGTGGGGCCTTACTGCTGGGGGGGCGGGGGGGGCAAGCAGGAGAAAGATGCCCTTGGCCAGCCCACACCCCACCACCCCCACATGTGGTCCTGAAAGAGCCGGTGCTCCTGAGGCCTCGTTGGGTGCCCGAGGAAGAGAAGTGGGGCAGAGTGCAGGGCCAGAGGAGTCGACTGCCTACAAGACCCACAGCAAGGAGGATGCAGGTGGCCAGGAGGCAGTGAAAGTGGTGGGGAGGGGGCTCCGGGCAGGGAAAGGAGGGGGCGGCGGGTCAGGGGAGGCGGCGCAGAGGGCAGGGCTGCACCCTTAGCCGGGGGGCATGGAGCGATGGCACTCACTGTGTATTCTGCATGCTTTTTTCCATACCATTTCATCCACTTCCTGAACTCTCGGTCCATGGTCTGCAAAGAGCCAAACCAGACAGCCCGTCAGGGACCCGGTGGCCAGGAGGGCACCCCTGTCCTCCCCGTGCCCGCCCCGCTCCAGGGTTCCCGGCAAAGGAGCCTGACTGCAGGGAACCAGAGTGGGCAGGCGTGCAAACCACAAACTCTAAACGGTTTCCCATGGCGACAACACCACTCAGACGCGCACTCCTCAGACCTTGCTGCCTCCTCTACCCCAACCCCCAGCAGATGCTGGCACAAGGGTGATGCCAGCTGACCCCCAGCGCCAGGGGAACCAGGGGACACGGCCGCAACGGTCTTTCAGGGACACATGAAGCAGGGACCCCCTCCCCCACCTTCCCTTAACCCCAGCACAGACTGCCCGCTATCCTGCAGGTCACTGCACACCAAGGCTGGAAACAAAAGCAACACAGATGTTGCCGCGCCCGGGGCCCAGAGCCACTCACCTCCGCGTACTTGGCTGGGATGTCAGCTTTCTCTACACCATAGTGATGTTTGCAGTTGGTGGCCGCAGCAACCTGCAGCACGACCTGGCCCACCCCTTGGGGTGGGGGGGGGAGAGAGAGGTGTCAGACGCACAGCAGGACACATCCAGCCGCAGGGGCCATGACTACAAGACTATCAGGCAGAGGCCACAGCCTCTCGGCCAAAGTCCCCAAGTGCCCTCTGGGGTCACAGAATGTGTTCAAATGCCCCAGGCCATGGGCTGAGCACCACTCCTACCCCCACCCCAGCTGTGCTCCATTTCATTACAAAGATGCTCTATGGCCACCCAACTGGGCATTCACTGTGTACACGCGGACACAGCCTCTCGAGGCACAGTGACCCCGGGAGGAAGCCCCCACCAACCAATGAACCATGTTCCACCATCCGCCTGAGTCAGGAGCAGCCCAGAGTGGTGGCGGGAGACCCCGCTCAGCACACGCCCGCAGGACACGGCAGGATCTGTGGGCACTTAGCTCACAGACAAAGGAGGCTTCTGAAACCGTCCCTCCTTGAACTCAGGCCACGTGCACTTAAAAGTGTCAGGAGCCCCAGGAGTTCCCATTTTGAACAGAATAGAGTTCAAAGATGGAAACAAGCCTCTATTCGGAAACATAGGGTAAACAGCGAGAGGACATGGGGTCCCTCCCGGGGGACAGGAGAAGCTAGGGGACCTGGGGTCTGAGGAGGCTGGCAGTTTTCAGAAATCATAAGCCTTCTGACACACAGGAGAGTTTTACAGGTTTTTCTAGAAATGACTTTCGACCATGTGCACGCTTATTAGAATATGAATTGTACACTTAAAGAGTTTAAGCCAATGACAATGCCACCAGAGAAGCCACCTTTGTCTGTCTGCAGGGCCCTTCTCGAGTGTCGAGGCCATGCCATATTGGACGGGACCTTGGGGTCTGTGAGTAGGTTATGGGGGGCAGTGGAGACCCCAGAGTGCTGTGCTTGGGGTTCCTGACGGAGCAGCCCAACCACAGGCCAGGGAGCCCCTTGGGCAGCCTGTCACCTGCACAGTCCCACCAGGACAACTTGGCCCGTGGCTTCTTCATTCAGGCAACATGGCACACCCATGGGCGCCTACCAGGCCCCAGCCCCCAGAACCTCTCCTCATGAGGAGGCCATCCTGTAAGCACAAGGAGTGGGGGAAGGGGTAGGGGGGAAGAGCCCCCACCTACCACTGCCCAGGTCCACGAACAGGTCATCTTCGGTCATCTTGATCTCATCGATCATCTGGGCGACCAGGTCGAAGGAGGTCTCCCCATACACCTCTGGGGAGAAGGGCTCATAGTTGTTGAGCTTCTCAGGGTCGGTCACTGAGTGGTTGTAGACCTGCTGCAGGATGTGCCGCAGGAGCCCCGTGGACGGCCGTGTGTTCAGCTTCATGGGCTGTGTGGTGCCCTTCCACTGCGACAGGGCACACACACAGTTTGCAGGGCCATACCACCCAGCCCACTGCCCCACCCCAGTGGGGACACGAGTGCGCAGGAGCGTGTGTGAGCCTGCATGTGAATGCCAGTGGTGCGAACCTACGTGCCTGTGTGTAGACGGAGTGTGTGTGTGTGTACAGATGTGTGGGGGCGTGCCCCACCAGCTGGTCTGTCCTGGAGCCCAGAGTACCCGTGGGGGAGAAGCACCAAGAAGGTTCCCTGTCACTGGCTGGCTCAGCATGGTTCCCAGGGCATCCACAAGGGCCGGGATCGCCTGGCAGGCAATGTGGCCAGTTCAACCCCAGCCATCTGCATCAACACAGTTCCGGCCCCGGGCCATAGGGTCCACATCCTGGGACACTGCAGACCCCATACCATGACTTGATGGGCAAGGAGGGGGCCTGAACCACAGCTTGGGGAGCTGAGACAATGAGACAGGTCTGAGGTGAGGGTGAAGGCCACCTACCAGCTGGTGGATGCTGTCGATGGCCCGGTTGTACTTGTCACAGAGCCTCTGCATACTCTCAAAGCTAAAACAAGCAAGGGAAGGCACTGGTCACTTCTGGGCTCAGGGCAAGCCACCAGGCCTCAGGAGACGGGGCAAAGGCCATGGGGCAGAGCCTCAGTTCACTGTGCCCTGAGGGCTCAGGTGAGGAATGAGCTTCACAGCTGTTCACAGAACAAGGCAGGCAGCCCAAGGCTGGCCTCACCCCCCACCTGTAGATGCAGCAAGTCCCGCTGTCCCAGGGCTGGGGGACAGCTGGGTGCCAAGGGCCACTGCAGGCAGGGAGGGCTCCTGGCTTTGCCAGTCAGGTGGGAGGGAATGACAGTCAACACCTGACCCTGCAGACGGGGGTTAGCACCCGCCTTCCTGCAGGTGTAGCTTCCATTTACCTAATAGTGTGAACTGCTGACACTCGCTCAGATACAAGCGTCCGTGTCAGAGATCCAGCGAAGGAGTCGTCGACCTGGCGTCTCCCCACACCAGGGGGTAGTGTTCAATGGGAGCCCCCAACCCAGGTTCCCCCAGAGTTATCTGGGGCATCCATGTTTGTCAGTGCCAGCACTGGGCAGCCCAATGCCCACCGCACAAAGGGTTTGCCCTGGCGTCTGTGCTGCACGGAGGAGGGGGCAGTCACTTGGGGCATGTCTCCTAACGCCACCCACATGCTGGGGAGCAAGACAGCTGCTCCCCAGTGAGCACCAAGAGCCCGGGAACCCCTGAGATGTGTACAGAGACATGGGGGGTCACCCACCCACAGCCTCTCTAGACCTGCATCAAGACCCCTCAACCCTGAGCCCTGGATGGACCCCAAGAGCTTAAGTGCACTTCCTTTTCTAACAGAAGCAAAGGGATCTAAACGGACCCGTAACCACATGGCATGTTCAGTCTCTGAGAATAGCAGCAGAAGTTGAAAAGCCAGAGACCTTGAGAACAGGAAAGAGTAGACGTGGGCGAGGCCAGTGAAGCCTCACACAGACAGACAGCGAGGGGACACATGGCTCTAATACGCCAGAAGCGGGCTGACATGATGAGGTGGGAAACCCATTCTGGAGGAGCTAACTGTATGCTCAGGGGAGGAGTCCAGTCCAGTGCCAGCCCAACAGGAACCCTGGGAACACAGGCCAGTAGTGGGCGGCCAGGGCAAGTGCCGACACTCCTGTCTCAGGGAGCCGTCCTTAGGGACAGAACACGCGCTAGACCCCGATTCCTTCCTTGTGCTCCAGCTTCCATGTCCCCGTCAGAGCCCCTGACTACACCCCGACACACCTTCTCCTGGGAGAATGCGCACACAGGGAGGCACAGCGTGAGCACCTGGCACCTGGGCCCTGCCGTGCCGGCCCTGCCCTCACAGACCCCTGCTCGGGGCAGGACTCTGAGGTCACATGGGTTGCAGGGGGTGGGGAGTCACCATCAGACTGCGCCTTTCCTCTCCCAGCCCTGAGTCCTTTCAGTCTGCTTAAGAGCGCTGAAACCTCCCCTCCCATCCCCCCACAAGCACTTTGGAGCAGAAGCGCCTCTCAACACTCCACTGCTCGAGCCAGGCACTCGGCCCTTGACCACCAGGAAACATGAACCGTGTGGATCTCAAGACCGACCGACGTTCAAGGTTAGCGTGCACAGGCACCTGCACCCTGGAGTCAGGCCGACGCCTGCACCCAGCCACCTGAGCCCGTAAGGGCCACCTGTGCCAATTATCAGACTGGGAGGAGGTGGGAAGTGAGGGGAAGGGACTAGGGCTGACTGAGTCCAGCAAGTCCTCCAGACACAGGAGTGAGACCACTCGGCCTGCACGGGGCCGCAGGCGCCTTGGGGCCACCTTCTCTGTGAAGAGCAGTCACCTAGGCCCATAGCCTGCGAGCTATAAGAAGCCTGCCAAGAACTGAAAGAGGCAGGAGAGTCTCTCAAAGAAAAACAAAAAGAAATTCCAGGCAGGCATTCCAGACTCGGCCTCACCCTTCCCCACCCACAGGACTCTTCTAGGAGATCCAGGATGTGCCTGAGGAAACTGCAGGGAGCGGCCAAAACCATATGAGACCTGGCTGGAGCTGGGGGCTGAGGCGTGAGAAGCCAGGCCAGCGACAGCAGTCACTGCCGTGGAGAGAGCAGCTCCAGCTTTACACACGCTGATCCCACTTTCCAATTATGTCCTCACTCCGACAGCCTCTGCCAATATTTGATAAACATTTCCTACCAAAATAACTCCGTGATGGCTATAGCCAAGTCTAAAAGGAAACTTCCCATCAGCCTGTAGTGTCGAGGAAGGTCTAAATTTAGGCTGTGTCCACACACGCGGAGCCCGTCCCTGGTGGAGATGCAGCCCTGGCACAACTCCGCTTACCTTTTGGTATCGTAGTCAATTAAAACGTAATTCTCCATAGCAAGCTTGAGATCCGGGATTTCTTCACAGACCCATCTGAAACAGAAAGGAAACCAGTGTTAGTGCTCTATCTTCTACTCTCAATGCTGTTCTTAAACACTGTTGACTCTGCAAATACAAAAACAAAACATTCTGGCTACTCAACTCAAAATGTGAGAGTGGAGGGAGGCGTGACTTCAAAACAAACAATGTAAAGTTTACGACATGTCCTTAGAAGGATGCTGTCCTTATGAATTACACAAGTTTGAAGGTGCTTCACACTTAAACAACACTGGCCATTGAGAGCTCAATGGATTTAACGTGTTACAGGGTCTAGGACACCAAACAGCTTAAATCAGAGAGTCTGAAAAGCAACGCGTTGACCAGAAACAAAAGGGAACAATTATTTGAAAAATTAACTAATCCCAAGACAAACAAGAGGGTTTCTTCAACCCCTGGACTTCTCTGGTGGTCCAGTGGTTAGGACTCGGTGCCTTAACTGTTGAGGGCCAGGGTCCAGTGCCTGGATGGGGACTAAGATCACCCCCACAAAAAATGAAAACAAACAAACAAAAGATACTGCAATGGGAAAAAAGAGATGGAGGGGGAACCTGCTAATCCCAAGGTGTAACCCTGACTGGATCCTGATACAATCTTGAGAAAAATTGTGAAAGAGGAGTCATCATGACAGAGCTTACAGAAAATAAAAGGAAAATAAGGGATATTATGAAAAATGGCATGTCAATAAACTCAACAACTTAGGAGAAGCAAACAAATTCCTTAAAAGATGCCAATTACCAAAACCGACACAAGAAGCCGAACACCTGAACAGGGCAACACTTGGCACAGAACGTGACGTGACTTTCTCCCAGAAAGAGACTCCCAGGCCACAAAGCTTCGCCGGCGACTTCTGCCAACCACTGAAGAAGTGACACTGACCCTTCTCAGCTTGGGGAGGCCAACGGTGCCATACCACCAAAACCAGAGGACAAAGCCTTATAAAGATGCAGCTGTTAACCTGGTAGCCCTCAAAAACGTAGACACAAAACTCCTCTAGAAATGTAAGCTGAAGTCAGCAACACATCTTATTCCAGTGTTTATCCCAGGAATGGAAGGTTGTTTAACACTCTAAAACCAGTCACTGTAATTCACATCACTGAGAGAATAAAGGAGAAAAAAAAAATCATACAATTGTCTCAACACATGCAGAAGACACACATGATGATATCAGTTTCTATTCACAATAAAAACTCTCAGGAAACGGGAGTGGAAAGAGCCACCCTCCACGTGATGGAGGGGCAGGGAGGGCTGGAGGAGCTGCTGTCCCTTCGCTGTGGGCTCTGCCAGGAGGGGCCCAAGGAGGCCAAGGGCTGGAAAGCAGGGAGGGGCAGTTCTCTCACCGTGTGTGCCCGCTCACCCCGGGGACCCTCTGACACACACACTCGCCCTAGCCACTAGGCAACCAGAGCTCCCATGTCAGGGGTCTGGCTCCCCTCTCTGCAAGACCCACCCACAGTCCCCGGGGCTGGCTGGGCAGTGCCAGTTCCCTCAGACCCAAGGGAACCCAAGTCACTGTCCCCATGTCATCAGTCTCTCTCTCTCTTGAACCCCCTCGGGCCTTCGGAGCAGAGACCTCTACCTCTGGCGAGCGCTTCTCCAGCACATCTGCCTTCCTTGGGAGGGCATCCACACCCCAGTGGCAGGGAAGGACTGGGACCTCCAGCCTTCTACCACAGGGCCCGGACAGTGTCACACGGCAGGAAAAACCAACCAACAGCACAAAGGCCAGGAAGGAAGAAGCAAAACCATCCCTCCGTGAGGAGGGATGGCACACAATTCAGTACATGGGCCAACCTGAAGAGTTTATGGAGAAGCTACCAGAACTCGTGTGGGTTCAGCAAGGTCACAGGGTACAGGTCAACTGTACTTACAAATGCCAGCAACAAAGAATTTAGAACAAGAGAAGTTTTATATGTTTTTTAAAATAACATTCAAACATAAATACTTAGGGATGATCTTGACTTCTACACTGAAAACAACAAAACATTGCTGACAAAAATTAAAGGCAACATAAATAAATACACAAACAAACAAAAAATGCTTGCAAAATATAAGACTAAATACTGTTTGTTTGTTTGTTTTTAAGACTAAATACTGTTAAACATCCTCCTCAAACTAAACTGCAAAGTGATTCCTCTAAAAAAGTTCAGTTAGGCTTTTTTGGAGAAACAGACAAACCAATTCTCAAACTGACATACAAGGGCAGAGAATCTAGAAGAGCCAAAATAGTCTTTAAAAATAATAGCACTGGGACTTCCCTGGTGGTCCAGTGGCTAAGACTGTGCTCCCAATGCTGGGGTGGCCGGGGTTCCGGCCCTGGTTGGGGAAATAGATCTCACACACCAAAACTAAAGATCACGCATGTCACCATGAAGATCGAAGATCCCTTATGTTGCAAGTAAGACTCAGCACAGCCAAATAAATAATACATACATATATATTTTAAAAAGCACTGTTGCAAAATTCACACTGCCTTGATTTGAGATGTACTGTAAATCTACAGTAACCAAGAGTGTGACAGTGGGATTTTCCTGGTGGTCCAGTGGTTAAGACTTTGCCTAGTGCAGGGGGTAAGAGTCAGATCCCTGATCAGGGAACTAAGATCCCACATGTCACAGGGCAACTAAGTCCACATGCTGCAACAACAGAGCCCATGCACAGCCAACAGAAAAAAAGAATGAGTGTGGTATTGGCAGAGAGGTGAACAGACAGATCAACCATACAGGATATGGAATCCAGAAATAGACTAAATTTTTTTTTAGACTAAATGTTAACAAATAATTTTTGACCAAAGCACCAAGGCAATGTGATGGGGAAAGGAATATTTCAATAAATGAGGCTGGAAGGATTGAATATTGAATGGGAAAAAAGAATCCTGACTCCCATAAACACAAACCCACATTAGACACAAAGATTAATTCACAATTGATCTTAAAACCTGGATGTAAAACCTAAAACCCCAGACCTTCCCCCCAAAAACAGGAGGCTAACTGCCTGACTGCAGGTAAGGTTCCTGGCTATGCCCCAGACAACTAACCATCAAAGAATGAGTTGGTAAGTCAAAAACTTCATCAAGATGTCATTAAAGTCACGGTCAGCCATGCTTTTCTCACTGGACACTCGCAGCCACAATATGTTAAGAATCGCTACAACTCAGTAAGAAGACAAACAACTCAGTCTCTAAAAAGCAGCACAAACTCCTCTCCAGGGGAGGAGACCAGAGCTCTCTGGGGAAGCAGCCAACTCGGGCTGGGACACAGCAAATTCAAGGTGGCCGTGGAGCATCTTGGGGTTCCAGATAGTGAGGCTGTGCTGGGAGTGGGGAGGGTCAAGTCAAGAGGCCAGAGCACAAATCCAGAGAGCCCCCCGGGCCAGCACGGGAATGACTGAGGAGCAAAGCAGGTACAGCAGAAGTGGGCTAGGACCCACAGGATGAAACCAGTGCCTACGGGGAACAGCCCTTCCTCCCAAAAAAGCTCCAAGGACTAATGGGGCAAGGGAAGAAGGCAAAACAGAAGAGCCTTTCAAATGCCCTGGTAACTAGTTCTCAGCAGTGAGATTCACTTCTGGATCCTACAATCAGTTGCAAAAGTCCAAGAAGAAACAGGTCTCTGCACAGTCTCCAAGGATTTCTCCCATGATTTTTATTAATTAAAAAGGGGAAAGCAGGAGCTTCCCTGGTGACTCAGTGGTAAAGAATTCACCTGTCACTGCAGGAGACACAGGTTCGATCCCTGATCCAGGAAGCTCCCACATGTCACTGAGCAACTGAGCCCATCTGTCACAACTACTGAGCCTGTGCCCTACAGACTAGAAGCTGCAACCACTGAAGCCCAAGAGTCCTAGAGCCCATGCTCCGCAACAAGAGAAGTCACCACAATGAAGAACTTGTCACTGCAACTGGAGAGTAGCCCCCATTCTCCACAGCTAGAGGAAAAAAGCCCTCACAGCAATGAAGACCCAGCAGAGCCCAAAATTAATAAATAACTTTCCAAAAAATGGAGAAAACAGTAACTTTACATTAAAGAAACCTGGAAGACAGCACTTCACCACGGTAAGGCATGCAGACGCCACAAGCCTCTTGCTGGGCTTACAGCTCTTACCAGCAACACTTTTCTGCACCCATTTCATGCTATCTGGAAGGAGACCACACATGACATTTTCATCCATAAGTATTTCAGTATTAAACTGTAGAAGTTTTGGCCTTTTTCTTTATTTTTTAATCTAACAATGATGCAACTGTTACACCTAGGGAAAATGCCACCAGGAATAGTAGAGCATGTTCTCAAACTTGTACTGGGCGTCTGTGAGCTAACGTCACCTCCATGGTGGAAGACTAAATCTAACATCCCTGCCCCAGACATGAGGGAAAAGATAAGAATGCAACCTCCTCCCACTTTATCACAAAACAGTCTCAAAGGTCCCAGCCAATTCAGTAATGCCAAGAAAAAGAAATAACAGGTGATACAATTATTTTTATTTCCACAGCAAGTCCCAGGAAATGTACAAAACTACTACTAGAATTGATGAATTGAGCACAAGGTCATGGTTAACATACAAATATCAATTGTATTTTACCCACAAGTAACAGACAAACAGCACATGAAATTTAACACACAATCCCACTTAACAGTAGTGCCAAAAGCATCAATGAGCTAGGAATAAATCTAACAAATGGTTGTCCAAGACCTCCATGCTGCAATGCCAGAGCGCTGCCAAGAGAAGAGCTGAAAGGCCTGAGCAAGCAGAGACCCATACCATGTTCATGGACTGGAAGACTCAAGTGTGATGACAAATCTCCGCAAAATGACCTACAGATTCAATACAATTCCCAAATAAATTGTGCAAAAATCAACAGGCTGATTCGAAAATTTACGTGGAAATGCAAAAGAGGTGAAATAACCAAAGCAACTTAAAAAGAAGAATAAAAATGGAGGACTTCCTGTGATTCCAAAGCTTACCATAAAGCTGTGGTACTGCCCAAAGGACAGAGCCGTGTGTCAGTGGCATTGCAAGAGATTCTAGAAAAAAAGCACCTCATACACTGTCAACTGATCTTCCACAAAGGTGACAAGGAAATTCCAGAGAGGGAGGACAATTTCATCAACAAATGCTGCTGGAACTGCGGGACACCCACATGCGAAGCAACAGGCCTCAACCATGTAAAAGTTCACTCAGAGTGGAAAAAAAAAAAAGTTCACTCAGAGTGGATAAAAAGATGTAAATGTAAAACCTAAACCATAAAACTTCCAGAAACCATGGCAGAAAATCTTTGTGACCTCAAGTTAGGCATACATATCTTAGCATGCAAAAAACTGCAAATTATAAAAGAAAAAAGTTGATAAATTAGACTTCTATCAAAATTTAAGATATCTGCTCTTTAAAAGACACTCTTATGAACATGAAGAGACAAGCCACAGACTGAAAGAAAATATTCACAAAACACATACCTAATAAAGGATAAACCGAATGATAACAAATTCTCAAAATTCAATAATCAAAAAACAACCAGTTTTTTTAAAACCAGGCAAAAGACAATGAACATCATTAACTATTAAGAAAATTTTCATTAAAACCACAATGATACTACCACAGGACTCAAACTGGACCAGCAAAAACGACCCTGTTAACATGACCTGCCAACGTGGGAGTCACAGGAGCAGTCCTGAACAGCTGCCTGCAGCTTGGAAGGGGCAGCCTTCCTTCAGCACAATCCAGCAGCCTCATTCCAAGGTATTTACCCAGAATGAAGGAAGACATGTCCACACAAAGACCTCCATGCAGTGTTTACAACAGCTTTATTTACAACTGCCAAAAATCAGAAACCACCCAAACGTGCCTGTCATCTGGTGAAAGGATGCGCCAATGGTGCACTCCTCAGGAATAAGAAAGAAAAGCCTTTGACACACTTTTTAAAAATGTTAAATTCTAGAAAATGCAAAGTAATCCACAGCAACAGAAAGCAGGCTGGGCTGCCTAGGGACAGGAGTGGAGGGAGGGGGCTGACAGGGGGCCCAGGCAAACAGGGGTGACTCCTTCTCACAGAGGTACAAGGGGAAACCCACACATCCACACTGGCCAGCATGCTCACTCCAAACAGGTGGTCTCCCTCCTGTACTTCAGTCACACCTTGACTGTCCCAGGAAACACGCGGAAAAGGAGGAAAGTGGATGGCGGCACAGGTAAAACAAACGCCAGGCTGGGTGACGGGCACGTGGGCTCGTCATATACACTGTCCATTTCTGGGCATGTCAGAAATCCTCCAGGAAGAAAAGTAAGATAAGAGAAGAAACTAAACAGGTGGCTGCCATCTTTACCAGTGAGAAAAAGCCAGCTGTGGAGACAAGAGGGAAGGAATGAAGTAGCCTGTAGACTTGAGGATGGGGAGCCGGCCCTGCCAGACCTGGAGAGGACCCAGCCACCTAGAGGTTCCAGAGAACCTGGTTCTGGCTGGCCAGCTGCACCCAGTCCTACTGCCCTGCACCACAGGGACACTCCCTCCCTGCAGGAAGAAGCAGGTAATGAGGCCAATCCGCCCCCAGAACTCGCTCGGCCCAAGGGAAGTGGGGGGAGGAACTCAGGCTGGCCAACTTGGAGCCCCTCGTCTAACCACGTGGCCTCACTTCCTGACTGACACATGTGGGTGCTCAGTCGCTGTCATGTCCGACTCTCTTGCGATCCCATAAACTAGAGACCGCCAGACTCCTCTGTCCATGGGATATTTTTTCAGGCAAGAAACTGGAGTGGGGTGCCATTTCCTCCTCCAGGATATCTTCCTGACCCAGGGATTTAACTCATGTTTCCCTCATCTCCTGCACTGGCAGGTAAATTTTTTACAATGAGCCCCCTGGGAAGCCCCTAACTGGTAGCCTTCTTTAAAAATGAACTAAACTAAGCCAGTCATAGCACTACTCCACCAACCAACTGGTTTGTGGATTACACTATTAAAAAATGTAGATCCCACATTCTCAGCACCACCCCAGTCAGGCCCACCCTGTGAGAGGCAAACAAGACTTCACTCAGTCTCCCAGACAATCCTGCACAGAGGCCCGGCTTGGCCCCGAGACTGAAGCAGACGCGCTCAGGAGGCTGAGCCACTTGGCTGCTAGGGGCAGGACGAGGCCTCCTCCACAGGGCACTGCCAGCCTGGCCACTGCAGATTTGAGAGGATACAACGGCACGAGGGAGGTGCCGGAGCCAGGAGAGAGTGGTCACAGAACGCCGAGCCTTGATCACTCCAGAGGCCATCACAAACGCTCAGGTCCAGTGTGAGGAGGACGCCCACCAAAAATACCGCAGGGGCCTTCCTCCTGGAGCTGCCCAGGCCAGCCTGCCGGGTGCCTGCCCTCCTCCACACAAGGGGTGGGCTCACATGGGGAGGAGTGGCCCAAACCCAACCCCCCATGACAGGAGAGGAAAGCAGTGATGAGGGGAAGGGGAGGGGGCCTGTGGGAACCTCTCACTGGGGATTCCACCCCTGCCCACAGGAAGCTCACAAAGCACCAGGCCCTGTGCTGGGTCACACCCAGGCACCTGAGCCCTGACCCCAGTCACAGTTTCCCTGGGTTCACCGTGGTTGGAGGAACAGGGAGGCTGACATGTGGGGGCTGAAAGCAAGGGCCAGGAGCCTGGGGTGAGAGTCAGAGTGCACGGCTAGGTGCTGGGGCCCACCTGAGGCCCCATCCCCAGGCCCCACCCCAGCAGGTGCCACACTCACCTGATGGTCTCGATGATTTCATGAGCAGCATCGTGGTGTTTGTCCTGAAAGACAATGGGACAGGGTTTAGAGCCGTCCCTCCAGCCTTGGTGACAGTGGCAGCCAGAGGAGGCAGGTGCTCCAGCCCCCAGGCATTCCCACCTCATTTCCCCACCCATGGCACTGGGATCCCTGCCACAAGCGGCACGCCGGCCTTGGGGGTACCCAGCAGGCAGCAGAGAAGGGAAGAGGCTGGGCCGGAGTTCAACCTCCAACCCTCCTTTCCCAAGGCTCTCCTGGGCACTCCTGCAGCCTGGCAGCCACAGGCTCTGAGTCCCTGACCCTCTGCAGGCCTTGGCTTCCATCTGTAAAATGGGAAACAAGGGTCCTGTCACTGCCGGGAGTGGGTGAGCAGCCTTCATCCCGCCCGGCCACAGCAGTGCCCTCCCAGCCGCTCTCCCCAACGGGCACATCACAGGTCGCTCTGGCCTTTCCCTGCAGTCTCAGCACCCAGCGAACTGGAGACCTCGCAGAAACCCAGGGAGGACTTCCAGTGGTTAAGACCCTGTGTTTCCAATGCAAGGGGCGTGGGTTCAATCCCTGGTCAGGGAACCAAAATCCCACATGCTGTGCAGTGTGGCCAAAAAAATACAAGTGAGGGTGTGTGCACGGACGTCTATAACTCGCGACCCCACTTTCACTCCAACCTCGGTGAGGAGGGCCAAGAAAAGCACGGACTGAAACCGCAAGTGAGGTAAGAGACCCAGAGCCACCAGCCCTGCCTGGGACAGCAAACGCCCTTCTCAGCCCAGGGCACCATTTCCCAGCTTCATGATGGAGGACAGCCACGAGGGCAGGTCGCAGGTCAGGGCCCCACCCAACTCAGCACTCCAGAACCACTTTCACGGCCCTAGCCTCATCGGTGTTTAACAGCAGCTCTACTGAGGGATAACTCACACAGAACAGACCCCGCTTCGAGTGTGCAACGTGGTGGAGTCAGTACACTCAGGGTTGTGCAACCAGCACCTCTGTCTAGCTCCAGAACATTCCTTTACCCCATCAGCAGACAGGCCTCCCCCTAGCCCCTGAAAACACTAATCCACTCTCTGTCTCTATGGACTTGCCTGTTCTGGACGTTTGTGAATAGAATTTCAATATGTGACCATTTGTCCAAAGTCTTAGTTTTTAAGGCAAAGGACAAAATCAACCTTCTATCATGAATATCCTCCAACTTACTAAGGATGGAGCAGTAAACATTCACCAAACTCCTATCACTTAGACAAGGCGGGGCGGGAGGTGGAGTGCGTGCCGTCCAACACTGGACAGTCCAGCAGATCAGTGGCTCCTGGCATGGGGTGCCCAAGCCCCAGCATCACCGCCGCTGACCCAACACCTTGGGGAAGAACCAGAGGTGGGAGCAACAGGCCCCAACACCTCATGGCAAACATGAGAATGGTGGGGGCAGCTGGTAGCTCCTCAAAAGGTAAAACAGGCCCCCCTCAACACAGCAATTCATCTCTGGGTGTCTGCCCAAAAGAAGTGAGCACATACAACCACAGCCCCAAACTGGAAATCACCCAAACAACCACCGACAGGTGAATGAATAAACAAATGTGTCCCTCCATGCATGGGAGCATCATTCGGCCTCGAAAAGGAGAGAAGCCCTGACCACGTGGACGCACCCTGAGGACACGATGCTCAGTGAGAGAAGCAGACACAGAAGGACACACAGGGTGTGACTCCACTGATGGGAAACGTCCAGAACAGGCTGATCCACAGACACAGAGAGTGGGTTCCTGGTTGTCAGGGGCTGGGGCAGGAGGATGGGGGGGGGTGTTGATGGAGATGGGGTTTCTCCCTGGGGCGAAGGAAGGTTCTAAAATTAGTAGTAGTGATGACTGCACTCAGTGCACAAACCACAGAACAGCATGCTTGGGGCAGATGAGTTGCATGGTGCGGGAATTATACCTCAATAATGCCATTAACAGGGAATTCCTTGGTGGTGTCTACGCTCTCACTGCTGAGGGCCCAGGTTCAATCCCTGGTCGGGGAGCTAAGATCCCCCAAGTCATGTGAGGTGGCAAAAACAAACTAATAACAACAAAATGTCTGGGAGTAGATGTGATATACTGTTAAAAGCACCCCCAACCTCAGCAGGAAAATCCTGAGTCTCTGGGATGCTCACAGGTCAACAACATCCAGGAAGTAAAGTCCCCACAGCCCTGGCAGGCATCCCCGGGCCCCTACAACACAGACAGCAGAGACAACACTACACTGTCCTGAAGGTCCATTCAGAGACAAGCTCATACGGACAGTGCACAGGGTCATGGGGCAGCCACGGAATGAGGGGGACAGTCTGGGCCTCTCCACCAATGCTGAGACACTCACTCTGAGGGGAACTCGCCCCGTGGACTGGGGAGTCTCAGGCAGCATGTCGGGGAGCCACAATTCTGGCCCTGTCAGCATTTGGATGAAGCATCCGCAGCAGTCTCTTGCGGGTACCTGACCAGATTCCCTGGCCTGCCAGCTCTCAGTTCCTGCCCTCAGACACCATGAGTGATCACCAGTGTATATTATTCAAGTTGCTAAATTTCAGGCTGATTTGTTACACACCACAGATAACCGATAAGGAAGCACGGCCTGCAAGAACAAGTCTGAGAGCCAGAGGAAGATGCAGTAGTGACCAGAAACATTTGATTCCATAAGTTTGACTCCAGTCACCACTGTGAGGTTACAAAACAAGAAGTACCATGAAAGGCCCCCTGAATGCCTATGTGCAAGAGCCCACACCATGTGGCAGGAATGTGCCCGGCTGTGGACCGTGCTCCCTCTCTGGGCCCTCAGGAAACCAGGACATGTCCAGGGCCCCTCCTCCTGCAGGGGCGCCTGGGAAGACACAGGGCCTGGAGCATGGTCTCATCTGAGATGAGGTGAACTCAAGCTGTCCCAAGCTCTAACACCAGAAAGAGAGGAGGGAATGGTTGACAACATGCCTCCTCCAACCTCGGAACGCTGCTGCAGGACCTGTCCAGCTTCCAGCGGCTGCCCTGACCACCTCAATGACTCGGAAGCTCTCACAGTCTCTCGGCTCTGGCCGCTTCTCAGGTTCCACAGGCCTTCAGATCAGAAGAGCGCCAGTGGGGGTCCACATGGAGGGGCTGCTGGGGAGGGACTCTGGGGTGATGAGAGAAGATGATGACCAAAAGCTCAGCACCAGAACTCTCCTCGCCTGAGCCCAAGGCCAAGGCCGTGATGGGAAAGGAGGGCAAAGGACAGGAAGAACAGGAGGCCCTTCCAGGGCCCAGTCAGCAAAAAGGCTCACCCAGGATCCTTGAGCAACCAGTGGCCGCATGGCCACCAGCCCGAGGACTGGAAAGTCCAGGCAAGACTCACCTTGAGCACTCCAGCTCTGAGCGCTCCAGCTCTGAGCGCTCCAGCGGTGTCCCACCCCCAGCAGGGATCACTGTCAATGCCCCACCAGGGCACCTGGTACCAGCCACCCCAGGACCAAGGCCAAATGAGTGCCTCTCCAGGGGCCTCAGACCCACGACTTGTCCCTCCACACACACGAGCATCGCCTGGCACTGCAAAGGGGAGAAGCGCCAACACCCGCTTCCACGTGGGCAGACCCTGAGAAGGGTCAGTGAAGGCAGACACAGATGGTCACACAGGGTGTGATTCCACTGATGGGAAACATGCAGAGCAGGCCAATCCAGAGACACAGGGAGTGGGTTCCTGGTGGTCAGGGGCTGGGGAGGGGGGATGTAGGTCCTCTGAGGGGATGAAATGTTCTGGGATTAGATATGATGGCTGCACAGCTCTGTGAATACAGTAATACAGTACAGTAAAACCCGCTAAATTGTACACTTGTGGTAGGTGAGCTGTGTGGTGTGAATGTTATCTGGACAAAATAAAAAGGTATTAGTTGCTCAGCTGTGTCCAACTTTTCGCAACCCCATGGACTGTAGCCCGTCAGACTCTTCTGTCCATGGGATTCTCCAGGCAAAAATACTGGAGTGGGTTGCCATTTCCTCCTCCAGGGGATGTTCCCAACCATACATAAAGGAGATTTCATCAATGTGCATTAGAGGATACCCCAGGTTAACCTGTAACTGTCTCTTGAGCCTTTAAATTCTATACCAATTCTCCACTTCTGGGTGGCCACTTGTTTTGTTTCTTTATTTAGGTTTTTTTTTTTTTTTTTGATAGTCATTTTTTTTTTATCTTTAAATTTATTTATTTATTTATTTATTATCACAACCATAGTGTATCTTTTTTTTTTTTTACATGTATTCCCCATCCCGGTCCCCCCTCCCACCTCCCTCTCCACCCAATCCCTCTGGGTCTTCCCAGTGCACCAGGCCCGAGCACTTGTCTCATGCACCCAACCTGGGCTGGTGAACTGTTTCCCCCTAGATAATATACCCGGGGCTATTTGTTTCCATCAACCTGACTTCGAATCTAAAGGCACGGTTGAAATGTCTATTTTTCTTCCTATCCTTAGAAGAAATTGCTGCAAATCTATTCTATGATTCTCATTCTGTTCAGCTTACAATACAGATAGCTTATTATCTTTTGCAACCTATGCCTTATAATAAAGCAGTACTGAAAAATTAAATAGAAACTTCAGCTGCCATACAGGCTATGAAAATGATTTGCTGGTGGTGAGTTTTAAGCTTGATTCTAAATAAATTTACTAAGAAGGGCACTTCAAATTTTGCTCTTTAAGGTATCTTGAAATTATAGGCTCACTCTCCCTAAACTTTCAAAAAGCATAGAGCTTAGGACAAAGCTGTTATTAAAAAACACAAAAACCACAAGACCCAGCAAGGCCCCTCCTACCATGTCCTGCCCCTTCACCTGGCTACACCCAGACCAGGTGTGGGCCCAGCCCCGCCCCTCGGTGGGAGCCTGGCTCAGTCCAAGGGCGAGCCCAGAGCAGACCACAGGGAGCCGCTCACAGACCAGGGAAAACATAATCCACTGTGAACAGGTCCAACACAGCCATGCAACAGGGAAATCCTTCTGGGGAGTCCCCATCCCAAGCCCCCTGACCTTCGCTGTC